CTCTTTTTCTTTCTTTCTTTTTTTTATTATGGAGAAAAAGAAAAAAAAACAGAAATAGGGTACAAGTTATACAGAATTTCAGAAAAAATAAACAATAGGGAATCACTAGTTAATAGATTACATATTGTTATCTTAGAAATAGTTGTTCAAGTTACAAAATTAAAGCATATAAAGTGGACTTTCAAACAGTGAGACTGGAAACAGTTTTGTTCAATGATCCAACAAAACTCAGTAATATGGTTATCTATCTTATACACTTAAATATATATGCAGTTATATTCTTCAGAGCACTTTCTTTTCCTTTCTTTTTGTACAATGACAATTACACATTTTGGGTTTTATTACTCCCACAGTTCTTACTACTTTTTTTTGAAGAGAGTAAAACCAAATGTGACATTACAGAACAGAGTCAGTCAAATAAAAAAGATGAACATAATAGATAATGTAAAAACAAAATACTAGGTGATCAACAATGGTTACCATACTACCTCTTGCTATATTAAAAAGAATTGCATATATCATCAGTTATAATAAAATTGAACAAAACAGTAAAGAATAAAACCAAAACATTGGAGACATTACAGGGCTTTAAAGGAAGATAATAGTCAACCAGAATGGGCATCATAATGAATCTTATTGTCCTTTTTTTTTTGTCTTTTTCCTTTTTATCGGTACCAGGGATCAAACTCACGACTGCCTGCTTGCAAGGCAGGCACTTATGCCGCTGAGCTAAATCCCCAGCCCCCGAATCTTATTGTCTTTACAGTCGTATACTTTTGAACTTGGTACTATCAAGCAAAGCAGAATAGAGGAAAATCAGTCAAAGAAAGATGGTGAGGGCTATACAGGGTTTCAAATCAAGTTAATAGGAAATCAAAGTGGGTTACTATAATGTATCCTTATTTTTTTATTTTTCCCTTAATTAAAAAGAAAAATAGAAAAGTAAATAATTAAAAAAAAAAAGAGACTGAGATAAAAGAGGGCATAACAACAAAACAGCACAGGTCAAAGCATAACCATTTAAGCAAAATAGTGTTTCACCACAAGACATCCTGACATAAAAGTAGTTACCATAATGTCTCTTTCCTTGAAATCTTTAAGTATAACTTCGTATACTGTAGTACCAAACATATCAAGACAATGTAAAACCACTCAAGAGAATGACAGTATTACAGGGTATTTAGAACCAACTATCAGAAAATAAACAATGGTTTCTGTATAATCTCCTTGTCTATAAAAGTTTTTGCTTATATTATCACATATAATAAAATCCAATAAGATACAACCTGTTAAGACCGATGGAGACAGAAGACTAAAAGCTTGATGGGACTTCAAAGCAAGATGATACTAAATCAGCACTAGCTATTATGATGTCTTGTTTTCTCCAAAATGGCTGTTCCTACCATCCAACCTTCTCTGCCTCATTTCTGTTGAGCTCTTTTTCTGTCATTAGTTGTCAGTTTGTCCTCTTCATTTCGCTTTCTGCTCCATTCATTGTGGCCGCTCTGCCACTGTTTCTGGAATCTTGGTATTTTTCACTTTTAGAATATCCTACAATAATCTCTGTAGAGTTGAATTGGTGGTTGCAAATTCCCCTAGTTCCTCTTTATCCTGGAAGCACATTATTTTTCCATCAACTTCTAGGGACAGTTGTGCAGGATATATCAATCTTGGCTGGAGGTTATTATCTTTCAAAGCTTGAGTTATTTTCCCCCACGCTCTTCATGATTTGATGGTTTGTGCCGAGAAGTCTGCTGTAATTCTGATGGGTGTTCCCTTGTAAGTGATCTGTTTCTTGTCTCTGATGGCTTTTAATATTTTGTTCTTATTTTGGATTTCTGGAATTTTGATTATTATATGCCTGGGTGTAGCTCTGTTTGGGTTGTAGGTGGCTGGGGTCCTGTATTCCTCATACATCTGAGTATCTTTACCTTTTGCTAAATTAGGGAAATTCTCTTGGATTATTTCTGTGAATAGCTTTTGTAGTCCATTTGTTTGTGTCCCTACTTTTTCTTTTATGTTCTTCATTCTTAAATTATAGGTCCTCTTATCATCTTCTAGCCTTTGTATTATTGCTGTTTGTTTTCTTGTTATTTTTAAGAAGTTTTTCATTTCATGCTCCCATATTACAAGTCTGCTTTCCAATTCAGATAATCTATCCTTAGTTTCTTTACAGCTGTTATGCCAGCTTTCGATAGAATTTTTAGTTTCCTGGTAATCGCTTTGAACCTGCTTCACGTATTCTATGTTTTCTCTATTTTCTCCATCAAACAATTCTCCCCTTTTTTTCTGTTCTTCCATTCCACCATCTGTTTTTTCTTGGGTGGTGCTTAGCATTTCTCTAACTATTCTACTTATATCTTGCTTTATTTCGTTAAATACTTCATTTTTAAACTCATCTATGAGGCTCTGGAGATATCGCTTTATGCCTATTGGTACCATGTCTGATATTGCATGTTTTCTGTCTTCCTTTGTGTTTCCCTTTCCTGGATCAGTATTCTCAGGATTGGGGATTGAGGACTCTTTCTTGTTGCTTCCTCTTCCCATACTTTTTGTTCCTTCCATACAAGCGAATGTAGGAGGCCCAATTTTTTTTTCTCTTTTTCGGTGTTTGAATTGCACCGGCTAGGTGTTCCCTCTCACTGCAGTGTACTAGGGAGACACAGATCTGGGCAGCTTCTGCTGGGCCTGCCCCTCCAGGTCAACCTACTGAAGGCTTTACCACTACAGTGCACCTCCAGGTGCTGGGACCTGATTTGGGCTAGCCTACTGGGTCTTAGTCAGCGGTGTCACCCAGGCCAGGCACTCCCCACCAATCCCGCTTGAGAAGGAAATATGTGACTGAAGTTACTGCAGCGCCCTGTTCTGGCAAGTCTGCCTGGTCCCAGTATGTCCTTTGCTGGAGCCTCCTACTCTATGAAAGGGTCCCTGTTCCACTCACTCACTGCAAGTCGATATAGGGCTCCCTGCTAGTCCTGCTCTCAACTCTGTTTGCAGATTTCCCGCTCTCAGAGCTTTTGCACGTCTCTCTCCCTGCCCTGCTGATTTGGATGCAGCAGTGGCAGCAGGAAATTCAAATCATGGCTTCCAGTGGCGCGGGTTCTAGCTTCTGTGCTGAGATTTTTATCTGTTCCTATTATAGCACCAGGATTGGATTTCCAGTTGGTTTCTCTTAGCTTAGCTTCTCTTAGCCTCATTCCTGGGTCGGCAGGGTGTATTTCCCCTTGCTTAGGACTCCTTGTACTGCAGCATTCCTGGATTCTAAGCGGGATATCTCAGAGAGCCTCTGTAGCTTCTGCTATTTATCCGCCATGTTCTTCCGGAAGTCCCTCTTTTTCTTATCTATATAAAAAGTGTAGAAAATCCCCAGCTTACAAACATTGCAAACTTTCAGAAAGATGAATGAATCTTCAGATTTGGTATTTTTATGCTTTACATTGTATATTTATGTCAAAGATGTATAAGACTCACTTGGTTGGATTTACAAATGAATCTGATTTAAGAAAGTTCTCTAGGAATGCATTGAACTTGTTCATAAGTTTGGGCTTACTCTATTGTAAAACCTTAGATGAGAATAATTTGTTCCTCTTATAATTTAAAGCGTTTGTGCATCAAAGCAATGAGAGAAACACAGAGAGAGACAGAGACAGACAGAGAGAGAGAGAAGAACCAACTGTGAGCGTGTGACATTCAGTTTGACATATTACTAGTACTGCAAGACATTGCTTTTTATAAAGTTCAAATTTCTTAGAAATGTTCGCTTGCCTTGTGGAACACTTACAAAACAAGTTATTCACAATCCAAGAAAGTACTTACTTTCTTTTTAATGCTGCTAATCTTTTCAGCAACTTTGGATCCAACTTTCCTCATAGTTCTTTCTGGACCAAAATTTAAGTTTCTCAAATTTTTCTGCTCTCCCTGCTTCTCACTGTAAATCTGTTTAAACATGATGAGCAGTACACATGCTACAGCTCAAATGTTGGACTGTCTTGAAGTCTTTTTCACTAAATTAGTTAGTCCACTGGCTTTTATCTCAGTTTCCTGCAAAGTCTTAGAATATGGGCAAGATGTGGACAAATTTTCTGCCGTAGTGTAACACACATGGTCTTTAATCCGATTGCCAGTGGAGACCTTGTCCCCAGCTAAAGTCTCCCGAGTCTGGCTTTTACCGTCCATGTACCCATCAGCATTCTGGTCTTTTGAGTTTCCACCAGCATTACCCATCAAGCTGTTTGTAGTATTGTAGGATTTCTGTAGCCTGTATCTCCAAACTGTATCAAATTTCCCCTATAAGACATTTCAAAAACTTTTAAACCACATTGTCAGGTACAGTCACAGCAGTGACTCCATTTCCCCAGTACTAATTTTCTGTATTAGCTTTCTTGCTGTTGGATGCAATGCTTGATACTCAGAACTTAAAGGTGAGGCTTAATTTGGTTCTCTTTTAAGGGAATTTAGTCCATTGTTATCTCCAAGGCATAAGCATCATGATGAAAAGTCCTGTTGAGCAAAGTTAGTTCACGGTGATTGAGAAGTAGAGCTGGGAAGCTGTGCTAGAGAGAAAGGGGAGAGGAAACAAAGACATGGACACCAAGGCCACATTTTCATGACCCACACGGATATACCTAGAAATGTGGACCACCAACTCTCCCTGTGGATCCCACAGCCAATCAAGACACTATATCCTAATTACCACACAGGGCTTTGTATTACCTGTGTACCAAGCATAAAAATAGACACAAAGTAGACTTGGAGCTTTCCAGAGATCAGTAATTTAGGAAGGTTAGTTGTGCTGCTGTTAGATGGAATTTGATTAGAGTGGTTTTAGGTGAATAAGTTGGACACAGTGATTAGAAATACATTTCCTATGTAATTTTTCATTGTTGACAATTCCTGTTTGTTGTCCCTTCTTAAACATTGATGAATGAAATTGTTTTATCATTCACAAATTCTTTTGGACTTCTGCAATTGGTAGTGATTTGTGTTTTTTATGAATCTAGGCATGGTGTCTGTTTTGGACTTGATGCAGGGCGGCTTCCCATCACGAGCTTCATTTCATGAACTCTACAACATGTATAAAAAGTATATGCCAGATAAACTTGCGAGATTGGATCCAAGGCTGTTTTGTAAGGTACAAATGCTTCTTAAATTGAATTTTTTTTTACCAATTAAATTTTTCCTGTAATTACCAGTTGGAATTTAATTTTTAAACTTTTATTTTTCAGGCTCTTTTTAAAGCTTTGGGCTTAAATGAAGTTGATTACAAGTTTGGGTTAACAAAAGTGTTTTTTAGACCTGGCAAGGTAAATACTTTTTATTTTAAACTTCAACATTATGCCTGTGGGCAGTTAGGGTTACTAAGTGTTTTTAAGTAATTAGTGATTTGTATTATTATTTTAAAAATATTATTCTTGAATTGTATCATTACTTGAACAATGTGGAAAGTATATGTATGCATGTGTATTTGTACATACACGGTTATCTTGGAGAAATTTTACACATAATTTTCTACAAAGAGTTTGTAATATTTTTCAGTATCTGAATCAGAACATTATTTGACTTTTTAAAATTTAAATTAGGGGGTTACCCAGAGAATACTAACATTTTAAAGAAGTTGCAACGTTTTTTTTCTAAAGCATTAATTCAGTTTTCAGTGACTTGAGATTTCATGGTACTTTGGAATTCATTGTGGTAACATGTGTACTAGGGTATAGAAAAGGTATAGGAAATTGGACTGGAGTTTGTACTGACCTCTGTCACATCCTAGAATGAATTAATGTATAAATAACTTGAACTGTAACAGTATTTTTTTAAGGTTACCATATAATCCTATAGTTTTAATATTCACACTTTGTATAATAATTTATGACTAGATGTGATCAGTAAATATCCAATGCTGTTTATAGTCTGTTAGTAGTATTTTTACATTCCTAACTTCTTTTAATATTGGTTTAATAATTGCATTCTCATTTTCAGTATGACAGTAATAATACTAATTGGATTAAGCAAAATCATTAATATCTTTAGTGTCTGAGGATAAATTATCTGATTTCACATTTTTGAACATGAGATGAAATATATGCTTCATTGTCAAAGTATGCATTTAATTATTACAGAGGACCTATATAAAATAATAAAATACAAGAAAAAATGAATCTATAATTGTTCATATTTAATGTAATTTTAAGCATTCATAGTTATCATAAACTCAGTATTTCTCTTATTTCAGAGCTATAGTAATTATTTAAGAATTATATCCTTCGGAAAAATTAATAAGGATTTTTTGAAAGCCTGAGGCAAAGATTTAGAGATCTTTAATCTCATTTTGTTAGTTTTAAGTTAATTTTGATTATAAAATGTCTCCCTCTGCCCCTGTCTATCTTATCTACCTATCTATCTAGGTTTTTTGAGACAGGGTCTGGCTATGTAGTTCAGCCTGGCCTTGAACTTACTATATAGTCCAGGCTAACCTTGAACTTGTGGCAATCATCCTGCATCAACTTCCTGAGAGTTGGGGTTACAGGTGTGCACCACCAGACCCAGATCAAAATGTTACTTTATTAGTTGATACATAACCATCCTTAATACTTGGTAGGACATTTGGTGAAGAATAGAAATCATTTTGAAATTTGGTGGCAAATAATGGAAATAACGTTTTATTTATTAATTTTGTGTTATATATTCTCTTAGGAGCAAAGATCTTTTTCCAAAATGGAGCTGGGGGTTGGGAGAGAGAATAGTTTTGGTGGTACCTGGTTTACATAGGTGGCCATCATTTAATCAAAAGCTATGTATGGACATCTGAGAATGTGAGTGAGCCAGTTCAGAAATATATTAATTCTCTGTTTCTCAATTAAAACTTTTTGCCAACCCTCTGAAGTTTTTCTACTTTTTAAAAATACTGAATCTGCTACTTAACAATACATAACCTTCTCCAACTCTTAAGATAGGATCCTACAGGAAAGGAAGAGGAAGGCAGTTAAATATAGTTAGTTTGCTGTCCACCCCACTAGGTCTGCAACTGGCCTGTAGCCACTTTTAGAAAGTTGGGTTTGGGATATGAATTTTATTTATTGCATCTTCCCTGTGCATTTAAACACATGTATCTTTTAATTGTGGTATTAAATTATTTTACCTCCCAGTTTGCAGAGTTTGATCAGATCATGAAGTCAGACCCTGACCACTTAGCAGAGTTGGTGAAGAGAGTCAATCACTGGCTGGTCTGCAGTCGCTGGAAGAAAGTAGAGTGGTGTGCGCTCTCTGTCATCAAGTGTGAGTGCTGCCTTTCATTCCTAAGATTTTGTTGCTTTGGAAGTAGTGCAATGGTTTGCAGAGCTGTACAGAACTATCTTGGGAATGCTGGCAGCTGGCCTGGACTTTACTTCTTGCTGGGTTCCTGGCTCCTGAGGCAACATCTTGTATGTGGTTTATAATAAGCCAGCTTTTGTAGACTTTGGTTTTTTATTTATTTTTTGAATGTGTGACACTTATTTTCCTGATCTGAATGTATAATTGGAGTATTGCTTTCATCAGGTCCTGGACACAACTCATCATCTTCGTTCCTTTTTCTTTCTTTCTCCTGGAACTCAGGACTCCCTTCCCATTTCTCAGACTTTTTTTTTTTTTTTTTGTCTTTTTTGTTTTTATCGGTACCAAGAATCGAACTCATGACTGCCTGCTTGCAAGGCAGGCGCTTATGCCGCTGAGCTAAATCCCCAGCCCCCATTTATCAGACTTAAAGGAGAACTTTTCTCTTGCTGCCTTTTGTCATCTACACAGAAATTTTAAGACCACAGTTATCTCAACTTTCTTATCCCTATAATATTGTCATTTACCAAATTGTATTGATTTCTCCTCCAAATACTGTAATTCTTTGCTTTTTGTTGCCTGTTTCTTAGTGGGTCTTCTTCCTCCCACTCATACTGCAACCTCAGCAGCTCCCAAGCTCTAAGCTAAAAGCCTTTCTCAGTCATCTTTTAGTAATGGGCAAAGCTTGAGTTCTTCAAACGTCTTTCAAGACCTTGTAAAGCGGAGTTACATCTTGTTGTTGCAGTCCCTTGTACATCTCCTCTCTGAACCCTGTTCCTGACACACTGCAGTGAGCAGCTTTTGTTGTGTTTCTGCCAAGTCATAGCAACTTTTTAGCCCTCACTGGGCTGAGGGCAGAATACTTGTGAATTACCTAAGGGTCTGTGGCAAACTGGGAATCTGCAACTTGATTAAATTGGTAACTGCTGCCCATACAAGAATACCTGTAATAGGGCTGGGTGCCTGAAAAGGATTCAGTAAATCTTTCCATATGAGTAGAAAAAGAAAATCAATTTAGCTTAATGAAAAGGAACAATGAAACTGAAAATGATTATTGAGATCCTTTGTTAGACACTTGTGCATATGGATAAAGAAAACTATAATAAAGAGATATCTGAACCCTTTTTTCTCTTTCATTTCTGAAGTAAAATATAAGGATATTTGTCATGGTAGCTTTTAGTTTCATATATTGTATTGTGATCGAGAGCATAATATATTGAAGTTACTTGCTTTATCCCTTGTGTCTGTGGCCTGTATTGTGCAGACGCAGCGAGGTCAGTAAGCAGACAGGTATGCTTGCAGAATGTTAATAAGGATGCTCTGGCAAAAACCTTTCAAGGTCAGATCTTTCAGGAAAATTCTGTGTACATGAAGTTGAAAAGCTTCCTTTACTGTAGGATTCTCAAAGGCCCAACCCAGTATGTTCATTGTGAATTTCCAAAACAAAGTATATTGTTTGTCTCCCCTAAACTGATTTTCCAGGTAAACCCTTTCATAAAAGCATATCTATTCACATTGAATAGAACAAATGTTGTGTAGGACAGTTTGGGAATCAGTAATATAGCTTAATAAGGAAATAATGAATTTAAAGTATGAACCCGGCTGCATACATGATAGACTTTTTTTTTAAAAGAAGTATTAAGAAACTGAAGGAATGTTAAAACTTCATGATTTTCATGTCGGTATAATATGTTCTTCAAAATTTCATATTGCTTGAGAATTGCATTTGTGAAAATGAGTAGATTTTAAAAATATAGATATTATTTGTCCAGTTTTAACTGAGTTTTAAAATTATTTTATTTTACTCTTAGTGAAAAACAAAATAAAATACCGAGCAGAAGCTTGCATTAAGATGCAAAAAACTATTCGGATGTGGCTTTGCAAAAGGAGACACAAACCTCGGTAAGATAAATAATGTGTAAAGAACCCTATAAAACTTAGTCACAACCGGGCATGCTTGTAATCCCAGCATGGGGGAGACCAAGGACTGAAAATTTGAGGCTGCTCTGAACTACATAGTGAGATCTTTTCTCAGACAACAACTCCCAGACCTGGATATACTCATATAAAATGGCAATAAAGTCATAAGAGAAAGCAGTTTAGATCTTTCTAAAGCATGCTCTTTATAAAATGATATTTTAGTCTATTATTTGTAACATTTATTTTAACAAATTTACATGTTTCTTGCCGAATTCTACAAGATTTGAAGTGGCTTGTAAAAATGTGAACACATACTTTTGCATGTTGAAATAAATGATTGAGAGAAGCAACTATTTCACTTATTTTAGCCATTTCAGTTTCTTAATGTCAAATCGATGTTTTAAAAATTACTAATATTTGGACCATTATTTTCAAGATTGTCTATAGAATTACATTGTTTCATTATAGACTTAATTTTTGAAAATACTTTTTAATTTAAATTTTTATTACTAATCTAGACTTTTTAAATTTGCATGTTTAAGTAACTATTAAATCACCATATCTTTTCAGAGATTATTAAATACCTTCTTTAAATCCCAAATTTGCATGTTCAGTTTTCAGTTTTTAAACACAGAAGACACAGGCATCAGTGACTTTCTATCCATCATTACTTCTTTTTACCCTCAGTAAGACATCTAAAAAACAGAATACTAAATAATAATGAAAACAGAAGTGAAACCTCTTGTTTGGTTCTGTGTTTAGCATTAATTAATTAATTAAAAATTTATTAATTTAGCATTAATAAAATAAACAAAAATTACCGAAGGCATTAATGGTGAAACTGATCTTTGGTGAAATATCGTCCCTCCAGCATCGATGGTCTGGTTAAGGTGGGCACCCTGAAGAAGCGGCTTGACAGGTTTAATGAAGTAGTAAGTGCCTTAAAGGATGGGAAACCAGAGATGAATAAGCAGATCAAGGACCTTGAGGTTTCTATTGATTCTTTGATGGCCAAAATTAAGGTATGTAATTTTAGCCCAAATGACCTTGATTTTTATATAATTTAATAACATTATTGGTATTGGAGTTGTACAGAAAGATTTTTTTTCAAGATACAAAGCGTTGACAAGTGGTTGCTCATATTCTCTATGTTTGAAAATTTCATTAGTAACTATAAAAACAATTTTTATGCAGTTTCATCTTTTGTAAGGAAAAATATTTTCCTTTCAAAAGAGTGAAAGTATTGTTCTTTGTTGTTAACTAACCTTTTGCATAGCTATGACTCAGTTTTAATGCAAATTGTGTTAATTTGCTTTTATGCTTTTCTACCTAAGTTTTAAAAATTTTATTTTATTTATTCTATTTGGCAGTGTTGGGGGTTGAACCCAGGACCTTGTAACAAGTTAAGCAGACATTCCACTACTGAACTGCATCCCTAGCCCCAACAAAAACTAATTTTTAAATTGTTAAATTATTGAAAATTGGAAGAAAATAATCAAAAACTCTTTATGTCCCCACATGACTACATTCAGCTAGAATGCTGTTATATGTTTTATTTATAACCATATTTTATGTGTATATATTTTTACATAATTTTAACCATAATACACATTTAATTTTGTGTCTGTGCCATTTGGTTATATGCTCTGTTCATCTTAATACATTATTTTCATAGAAGGTATAACTTTACTTAACTATTGTATAAAAATGGTAATTAATTTCATCCTCACTTTTGTAGAAAAAAGTAGGGCCAATATTTTGCTTTTCAATTATTTGATTACCAGTGGGATTGAAATTTTTTTCTGTATGTTTGTTTCTTAATCATGTTTCATCTTGCTCTTCATATCTTTTCCTCAATTATATTTTAGGATTTTACTATTTTCCTAAAGCAGTTTTATAGCTTAGAACAGTTATGTGGATATTAGTACCTTACAGTAAGCCCAATGTTATATTTTATGCAGATATTTAATGTAGACCATGAATAGTAAATCTTAGAAAGGAAAGTAATGATCTGGAGAAGAATAAAAACACCAATATAGATCTAGCTGATTTTACAAATCTGTCACATGCCACCCTTGATTATGAGCTATCAGTGTCAGTTTAAAATTAACCAGTCACATTTTTTGAAGGCTAATTTAGAAAAGTTAAATAATTTTATATGCATATAGTCATTTCTTTCATATTTCATAGCTACTATGTAAACAATATAAACAGTAGTTTTGCGTGTGGGCAAATTATTCCTTAAAAGGAATTTTTAACTGCAATTATATTACTTTATCCACAGTTTTATATTCAGGTGTCGATGATCTGACTGATAAAAAAAAATAGAGTCAAATATTTGTGTGCAGGGTTAATGTTTAAGTTTGAATGTTATTGAGTATGCAAACAGTACAGCAAAGATTATGGGTTTATTGCTTACTAGGTTTTCTACTTTTTTACTGTTTTATGTACAGATTGTGGTAGGTTTTTAAAAAAATCATGGAGAATATGTAACATTACATTTATCTTTCTAGCAGTTGTTAAGTGTACAGTTCAGTAATGTTAGGCATATAGATTATTGTACAATGGAAGAAATAACACTTAAGTGTGTGCTTACTGTTTTCAAGTCAACTATGATGACAAGGGAACAAATACAGAAGGAATATGACGCATTAGTTAAAAGCTCAGAGGACCTCCTCAGTGCATTACAGAAGAAAAAGCAGCAGGAAGAGGAAGCCGAAAGGCTGAGGCACATTCAAGAAGAAATGGAAAAGGAGAGAAAAAGACGTGAGGAGGAGGAGCAGCGTCGCAGAAAGGAAGAGGAAGAAAGGAGGATGTAAGTGCATGCTGTTGTTTTGGCTGGAAACTGAGCTGCAGGGTGGCTTGGTGTTGACAGTGACCAGTGACCATGCTACAGATCAGTCACATTCTTATTTTAGTGAATTAATTTTAGAATAAATTTTTAAGGTAATTTTATAACAATTCCTAAAATGTTACAATTACTGAAAATGATTTTAACTATTGGTTGAGGATTCCCAGTTCCAAAGTCTGAAATCGAACTACTCTGATGTCTGAAATTTGAGTGCTATATTGGCATTCAAAGTGTCATTTAATTTTTATGAACACATAATTAATTGTTTATGTGGGTGAGAGTCATTGTGATACTAGTGTATATGTTACAGCCTTCCTGGATCTATGCAGGCCACCTTCTCCCACTCCTTGTGCACTACAGGCCTGTGTAATCACTACTGCATTTTCAGGTTGATGGTCTTTAAAAAAGCTTCTGCATCTGAGAGAGGACATGCGACACTTGTCTTTCTGTGTCTGGCTTATTTCCTTTAATATGTGGCCTTTAGTTCTACCTGTTTTGTTGAAAATGACAAACTTATTTGCGTCCCTCCCTCCCTTCTTTTCTCCCTCTTTCTTTTCCTCCTCTCCTCTCCTGTCCTCTCCTGTCCTCTCCTGTCCTCTCCTGTCCTCTCCTGTCCTCTCCTCTCCTGTCCTCTCCCCTTCTCTCCTCTCCTCTCTCCTCTCCTCTCCTCTCCTGTCCTCTCCCCTTCTCTCCTCTCCTCTCCTCTCCTCTCCTCTCCTCTCCTCTCCTCTCCTCTCCTGTCCTCTCCCCTTCTCTCCTCTCCTCTCCTCTCCTCTCCTCTCCTCTCCTCTCCTCTCCTCTCCTCTCCCCTCCCCTCCCCTCCCCTCTCTGCATCCTTCCCTCCCTCTCTCCCTCCTTCTTTTCTTCTCCCTCACTCCATCATCATCATCATCATCATCAGCAGCAGCAGCAGCAGCAGCAGTACTGAGCATTGAATCTAGCCCCTTTAAAAATATTTTTTATTTTGAGACAGGATCTCACTAAGTCACTGTGTTGCCCAGGCTGGGCTCCAAGTTGGCTACCCTCTTGCCTCAGCCACAGGCATGCATCACCACAGCTGTTGTCTTCTTCACGACTGAATGATACTCTATTGTGTAGATATACACACACCATATTTTCCTTACCCATTTGTCTGTTCTTGGGCACCGAGAGCAATTCCACATCTCCACTCTAAATAGTGCCACAGTAAGCACAGACATACAAGTTTCTCTTTGATGAACTAACTACATTTCCTTTGGATATGAACCCAGGAGAGGGATAGCTAGATAGTGTGGTAGTTCTATTTTTAGTTTTTAGGGAGCTTTCATGCACTGATTTCTGTGGTAGCTACTGTAATTTATGTTCTTCAGGAATAGTGCATGGTTTCCTCTCTCTCTACATCATTACTAGCATTTGTTATTTTGTTTTTTAGAGTGGCCTTTGTAACTGAGGTGAGATGGTATCTCATTGAACTTTTGATTTGCATTTCTTTGATGTCTAACGATATTGAGCATTTTTTCATATACTTACTGGTCATTTGTGTTTTGTCTTTTGAGAAGTGTTTTCAGATCATTTGTCTATTTTAAAATTAGATTACTTTGTTATTGAGTCTTCATATATCCTGTACATTAAGCCTGTCTTACGTGAGTAGCGGGTAAATATTTTCTTCCATTCTATGGACTGTTTCTTCAGTTTGTTGGTTCTTTTGCTGTACAGAAGCTTTTTAATTTGATGTGATTGTAATTATCTGCTTTTGTTGCCCTCCCTCCCATCTTTTGGAGTCTTCCAGAAAATCAGTGCCTGTACTAGTATCTTGAAGTGTTTCTTCACATTCTCAAAGTTTAAGGTCTGCTGTTGATCTGTTTGAAGTTGATTTTTTTTCCAGGACATGAGGAAAGGGTCATGTTTTAGTGTTCTGCATGTGGATATTGAGTCTTTCCAGCCCTATTTGTTAAAGGGACTGTCTTTTCTCCCATGACTGTTTAGCACTTTTGTTGAGAATCAACAAAAGCTGACTTTTTGTTTTTTAAAGGTTTTCATTTTTGTTTTTGTTTTGGTGCTGTGGACTGAACCCACGACCTAGCACATACTAGGCAGGTGCTCATGCTGCTAAACTAAATCCCCAGCCCCTAAAAGCTGACTTTTGATGTATGGATTTGCTGCATTTTTAGATTTCTCTGTTTTATTTGTTTTTCTGTCTGGTTGTTTGGTTTTGTTTGTTTTGGTTTTTTTGAGACAGGGTCTAGCTCTGTAATTCAGGCTGACCTGGAAATCTGTGCCTCAAACTCGGGTAATCCTTCTGCCTCAGCCTACTGAGTGCTGGGATTACAGACATGTGTTGCCTTGCCTGGCTCCTCTGTGTTTCTGGTTTTATGCCAGTGCAGTACTCTTTTGGTTACTGTATCTGTGTAGTGTATACCGATATTAGTTAGGTATTGTGATGTCCCTTCCTGCTTTGCTCTTTTTAAAACAAGATTGCTTTGGCTCTTCAGAGTCTTTTGTGCTTCCATGTATATTTTATAGTTGTCTTTTGTAATTCTGTGAAGATTGTCATTGGTATTTCAATGAATCTGCAGATTACTTTGAGTAGTCTGGACCTTTTAACTATATTCATTCTTCCAGTCCATGAAAATCCATCTCAAAATGTTGTTTTCCATTTGGTTTTTCAGTGTTTAGAGAAGTTTATACCTAGATATTTTATTTCTTGTGTGGCTATCATGCATGAAATTGCTTTCATGATTGATTTTCTCAGAAATTAATTATTGGTACATAGAAAAGCAACTGACTTCTTGGGATTTTATTCTTGCTACTTTACTGAATTCACTTATCAGTGCTCATAGTCCTTGGTCGGAGTCTTTAGGCTTTTCTGTGTATAGATTCATATAATCTGCAAGCAAGGATAATTGACTTTTCCTTTTCCTGTTTGTATGCCTTTTTATTTCTTTCTCTTGCATAATTGCTTTGGCTAAAGTTTCTAGTAGTACTAGGGGCTAGGAAGAGTAGCCCCTAGTACTACTCTTTAATAAGAGCAGCAAGAGTTTCTGATTTTAGAGCAAATACCTTCAGGTTTTCCCAATTATTATACTATTGGTTATGGGTTTGTCATATGTAGCCTGACTTTTTGATTTGGATTTTCTGAATTTGTCATGTGTTCTGGAAAAGTATAAGAAAATATTTCAGAATTTAAAAAAAAAAAAAACCTTGAAATGTTTCTTATCCCAAGCACTTCAGACAAGGGATATTTAATCTGTATGATCTGAATTTTGATTAGCCTCTTAAACCTTCTTTTTTTTTTAAAAAAATAAATGACCTGTTTATTATTTTATATGGTAGAAAAAGGCACTTATACCTTTTCTTAGAATTTTAAAGCTAGTAACATTTTGGAAGACTTCTGTGATAGGGTAAAGAGAGTGAATATAAGTTGTCTTGTTGAGGAGGAGAGAGAAGGAATTATTATAGTTAAGATCTTGCAGGTAGGCTTTGAGACCAGCTTCATCTAGAGACATTATGGGTTATAGAATCTATTTGTTTTATTTGAGAATTACTGTTGGTAGAATTAGAGAATGTATTTTATTCAAAATAAGTCAATAATAAATATGGCCTACAGGTTAAGTTCCCACTCTGTTACCTTTGTTTATTGATAATTTGCCTAATGGAGACTTTAGTTGCTGGTAAATTTGAAGAACTTATGGGATTTTTTTTTTTGAAAGGAAACTTGAAATGGAAGCAAAGAGAAAACAAGAAGAAGAAGAAAGAAAGAAAAGGGAAGATGATGAAAGACGTATTCAGGTATGCACTTGTAGAACTGAATTTCTAGGGGCTGGGGATTTAGCTCAGTGGCATAAGCGCCTGCCTTGCAAGCAGGCAGTCGTGAGTTCCATCCCTGGTACCGATAAAAACAACGAAAAAGACAAAAAAAAAACCAAACAAACAAAAAAAAAAAAACCGAACTGAATTTCTATCAAAATACAATCTGCAGGGCTGGGGATTTAGCTCAGCAACATAAGCACCTGCCTTGCAAGCAGGCAGTCGTGAGTTCCATCCCTGGTACTGATTTAAAAAAAAAAAAAACAAAAAAAAAAACAATCTGCACAGTTATTTTAGAAAGTGAAAGTCAGATTTTGATTTGCTCGCTAAACTCTCCCTGTCTTGTTCCATGGGCCAGACAGTTTCTAAAGTGGTTTTGGGGATGGGACTTTGGAGCTAAAGACCTGGGTTCGCATCTGGGCCCCTGTCACCAATGGAAACTGAGGCAGTCACAGTGAGCAACCATGAGCCACAGTTTTTCTCTGTGGATGGGAATAAATAATAGTTACCTGTTACAGTACCTAATTCAGTAAACATTAGTTTTGTTATATCTAGGAAGAAGTCAGGTAAATACTTAGAACATAATTTTTATGTTTTAAGAAGTTTTGTATCTGTAGATGCTGGTATTAATATGAAAGATAAAAGATATTTTCTTCTTACAAAGTCCATTTCTGGGAATAACTGATCATGTATTAGGGGTTCTATTTGCGTAGGCTTTCCTAGTATGTTCTTAAGCATAACCAGCCCCCTACCTTCCTGGTGTTTGCTGTGTGGGTGGTGGTGTTAATTCAGTACTGAGGGTCTCTTGTCATGTTTGCCATCCTTCATGATAGCCACAGGAGTTAGCGTTTTTCTGCATTTTCTTACTTTTGGAAAATGAAGTTTTCATGATATAGAAGAAAATGGAGACTGGAGAGGTTTGCAGGGAACCTGTATGAAGCGTGAAGGTTGCTGTTTGTTTTACGTAAAATGGGAGTGAGCAGGTATTGAGTGAAGGGCTCTTTGTGAACCGCCTTCTGGCCTTGGCAGGCAGAAGTGGAGGAGCAGCTGGCCAGGCAGCGCGAGGAGGAGTCCCAGCAGCAGGCAGTCCTGGAGCAGGAGCGCAGGGACCGGGAGCTGGCCCTGCGCATCGCCCGCAGTGAGGCCGAGCTCATCAGCGACGAGGCCCAGGGAGACTCGGCACTGCGCAGGTACTGTGCACCCCTTTGCTTTCTTACCCGCGCTTCCCTGTGAAGGGGCAGAAGAGAGATCTTACTTCCTAGCCCCTAGTACATACATTTGTGGTCAATTCATTTCAAAATTACATGTGTCTACATTGATATCCAAATGAATCAGATAATGGATTTTTCATCAAATTGGCTAAGCTCTTGAAGAGTAAAATGGCAGAATTTCAGCTGAGTGCTCTGATAAGAAAATATTTAAACTTGTACTCAAATTGTCTAAAGAATATGTATATTGGATAGATACCTAATTTCTAAGTATGGTACTAATTTAACACTGAGTTAGAAATTAGTGCAGTTTAATATATTTGAGGTTAGGATTCTATTTTAATGTTTCATATTCCTGATCACTTGAGGAAAATTTACCCCCAGTGTAAATGAATTTCCTTTCCTAGAGAGAAGGCTAATCTCACTGAAATATTTTGACTTCTCAGATTTCTGAATTATCTCTAAACATTATAGGAGAACACAAAGAAAATGGAATTTCTTATTTTATATGAAGTTACGGGAAAAATTTTAATATTTTTTATTTAAAAATTTAGATTATAATCTGGGTGTGGTGGTGCATGCCTTTAATCTTTGCATTTGGGAGGCTGAGGCAGGAGGATTGTTGTGAGTTCTAGGCCAGTCTGGGTTACCTAGTGAGTTCAAGTCCAGCCTGCACTGTATAGTGAAACCCTGTCTTAAAACAGAACAAACAAAACAAAACAAAATTTGGAATAAAGAAACAGTTATTTTGATCTTTTGGCGGTGGGTAGTACTGTGGATTGAACTGAGCATTTGGGCTGAGCTACATTCCAAGCTCTTTAAAATTTTTAAAAAAATTTTGACACAAGGTCTCTTCGTCACTAACTTGTCCCAACTGGACTTGAATTTGCGATCCTCTTGTCTAGCCTCACAGAGTTGTGGGTTTTTAAGTATGTGCCACCATGTTAACCTATTTTGATTTTTTATTTTTAAAAAGAAAGGAAAATAATTTTTAGTGTTGCTCTATGTAGATACATGTGCCACGTATATACTGAGAAGCACTAAATATATGTAGCCTCAGAATATGATTTATGACAAAAAGACTAGGCATAGTGATGCATAACTGCAATCCGAGCACTTGGGAATCTGAGGCAGGAGGATCTCTGCAAGTTCAAAACCAGCCTGGGCTCCACATTGAGTTCAAGGGCAGCCTAAATTACAGAGAGAGACCCTGTCTCAAAAAACCCTAGACAAAAACAAAAACAACTCCAGTATTGTTAAATTACAACCACTAGAGGGAGTAATTTCCTTTCAAAAGGTTAAAAAAAAAAATCCTTGAATTCAAATCATACAGCTACTGAAATTCAAATTGTTAGATTTCATTTAGCTGAAAATATAGATGGGGAGGAAAAGGATTTGTTAGGTTGTCATCACATATTTTTTTAGGGAGTAATTACTTGAGAACCTCTGGAGTTTGAGTTATGTAAGAAAAGAGTGTCATGCTATAATGAACTAATTCTATACAAATGAAGGTATTACAGCTCTCAACTCTTGAATTTGAGTCCAGTATTTGGGCTCTTCACTAATATCTCATTATTATTGGACTTCTCGGCCCCACTGTGGCTGTTGTCAGTTCTGCCTTGCTGTTCTTGCTCCCCCGTTTGCTGTGATGGCCGCTGGTGCCTTTTCTGTTGGTGCCCAGTGGCCAGGCCAGCCTCCTGGGCCGGCTCCCTGGGGTCTGAGGAGGAGCACTGCAGCTGGAGAGCAGGCTTCTGGTGCCTGCTGTTACATCCAGAATTGTCTTCATGAGGTATCACTGATGCACACTGCAGAGCTTGCCGGCATGTGATTGAAGCAGCGAGCTCACATCCTGTGCTGTTCTGCAAGCTGTGCACAAGTCCTTGGTTGTCTTCAGAAAGGTGCGCTTGTTGCAGGGTGACCAGTCCTTGTGAGAGGCTGGGCCTTGTGGACCTTGCATGCAAGTGTCGAGTTACCATTCTGCTTCACTTAAGCAGAATGATTAGGTCACAGGAGCTGCTAAGTAATAAGGTATTGAGGCCGTTGCCACTGGAAAGACAAAAGAGTGCGTCTTGGTTCTCCTGTGTGCTGGCCTGAGCGGTCCTGTTCTTTCCTCCACATGCCTTTCAAGTCATCCTTGCCAGCCCTGGGCCCTTCTAAGCCCTTCCCTTCTTGTGGTGGTTTTATGCTCCATATGACAAGCATCTGCACTTCATTTTGAGGATGCACAGATACTCAGTGTTTGCTAGTTCTGTCTCAGTCTGTGGGCCATAACTAAATATTTTTGAATATTTACTTTACTTTTGTTAGTGCTGAGTTCTTTGAATAACGTTAGGTGTGAATGATAATTCTCTAAGGAACCCTGTTAGAGGTTGAGGTCCCTCTTAGGTTCTGTGATGTATTAATACCTGTTGATGGATTCTGCTTCAGTAAAAAATTGTAAATTACTTTTCCAGCTCAGATTCCTGTCAAGTAACTTCTAAGTAAGAATTATTTCCTGTGTATATAATATGATTTAAAATGTAATCTTAATCAATCACACATGATCCTTGATGAAAAACAATGATGCACAATTACTTGAAATTATAGAGCGATACCCACATTCTTTTAAGTATGAATCTCACAGTATATGAAATTTCCAATCTAGATGTATTTGCTCTTTAATTTTTACTAAGATCTTTAATTTATTCCTTTATAATAATTGTAATTAATAACAAAATATTTGTAAGATTTTAAAAATGTACCAAGATTCTGAATGATTTCATGTTGAATTAGAAGTGATAAAATTTTTAAATCAGTGAGCAAAGTAATTATAACACCATAAATTTACACAATCCAGATTTTTACAGTTCTGTATCACTCATGATGTTAACTGAAATATATTCTTTCCACAGAAATGATGGAACAAGACTCAAAATGACACCGTATGTCATCTCCCTCTACATTTTAAAAAATTGGTTGTGGATACTTTGTAGCGAGAAGTACTTTTTTTCTGGGAGTAAATTTTAGGTTATTTCCTTTTTAAAAAAAGAATAACTTTTTTTATTACCTAGGGGAAATGTTCAGGGCTTTATTATAATAGTTTGTGACTTGGTTTCCTTTTTTGTGTTGTCTTTAAATTTTAATACTGGTTTGTCGTACATATTTTTAAACTCTCCCTTACATCTTTATAGCAGCAGGTGTGGAGAAATAAATTAGAATAAGTAATAACTTAGTATATGATAGTTAATTCTCTATCTAAAGTAGATCATAATGTTGTCACCTTTTTGTATGTAAGTCTTCCCACAGAGATAGAATCCTATTAACATTTAGAATATAAGTAAAATATATCTTATACATAAATAAAATACTTTGGGATATATATAAATCTGAATTTTGACAGTTTTAAGGACTCCACTGTAATCTTTGTAGTGATGATTCTGAACTCTCAGATGAGTACCAATAAAAATATTTTATAAGTGATATAAACTATGTAAATATTGTAATTCTCTCCAAAAGTACACATAAAGGAGAAATAAAAATTAAAAAAAAATTTTTTTTCTTTTTTGTCTTTTTCAGACAGGGTTTCACTATGAAGTTCAGGCTGGTCCTGAACTCCTGTTGTAACCCTGGCTGGCCTCAAACTTAACAGTGATCCTCTTGCCTCGGCTTCCTGAGTCCTGGGATTACAGGCATGAGCTGTTACACCTGGCACAAAAAGATCATCATTTATAATACAATATTAGTTTACTTTGGTATAAAAGTGCTTGCAAATTGCAGCAGAAAATGTAATCAGATATACTATATTCATACGTAGAGTCACTGTGAGTGCTATAGCTCCAAATGAAAACCAGTCACGGAGCATTGTGTTAGGTGCTTAAATACCATGACTTGTGAATAATTCTTTTTTATGTCCCAGACAACTAATTATAGATTGCCTCTCAATTACACATTATTTGCATTGTGAGAAAAAGTGTATTAAAACTGTGTAAAAACATGTATTATTTACATGTAAAGCTTAGTTGACATATAAAATATTTATATATATTTTTTACCTTTACATGTCTGGCAGACATGTTAAGATATGTGGATTATTGGACACTTCTTTCTGTGCAGCACATTTAGAATTCCTGATCCTTACCTCAACACACATGAAGGACACACACCCACATTGTTACCTCAGCAGCACCAAAATTTTCAAAAATATCCATGAGTAGGCACTGCTTCTCTCTCTGTTAGAACAATTGCTTTATAGATTCCATTTGAGCTTGAATTAAGTAAATCTTGCAGCAGTGTCTGATATGAAATTGTGAGTGTTTGCATATAGTTCAGTAAAATCAGAAGGAGAAAAGCACCTCGAGATGCAGGGTCCGTTCTGCTGAGGGAACAGGGAGTAGTGTGTTTGGCATAGGCCAGCTTCTGGTGACACAGGGTCAGTTGGGATGATGAATCAGTAGGGAGGGTGGTCCATTGGAGTGTCCAGGCACATACAGAAAGCAGTGAGGATCAGCAGAGCAAGTGCAAAGAGCTTTGCAAAGCTGCTTGGCTCCTTGGAACCCTGCTGTGGGAAAATGAATGATGGAGGCTTTAAGAGAAGGAGAAAGAGAGAAATCAGGAGGTGGGATGGTGACAGAAGTAAGATGTCTCCAGAAGCATTCTGAATTGCAAAGTTAGAAAGTTCTGAGAAACTACTAAACCTCAAGAAATTGATTGATGGGTATATTGCTCAAAAGACAATTTTTAGTAGTTGGTATTTGTGTGGTTTTTGCTATTCTTTCTCATCAGTCTGGAAAGATTACTTTTTCTGACTGTGCTTGCTTAGATAGACAAGTGTTCCTTGTAAGGACGGCAGAATGGGAGACTGCTGCTCTCTTAATTGGGCCAGCTCTGGATGGGCGTTCTCAAAGCTGCCCTGTGGCAGACGTGCTCAATCTCCTGTCCTTGTGATGGTTAGCAGTTTGTAAGGTTTTGAGGTTACCAGGGTCTGATTAATAGTATGAAGGAGAAATGATTTATTACAAAGGAGAAGAGTAAAAGCTAGACAAATAAAATAATGAACTTAAAGTTCAGGAACACAATGAAACTGTTTTACAGAATTAAGCAAATATTGAGACATTACCCTCTCCTGGGTAATAAAAGAAAAATAAGTTTTCGCTTTTGAAAAGTATTTATCCTTGGAAAGTTAAAATACATCTTTCACTTAACAAGTGCTCACATTGATTTTTGTTTTCTTTTTTAAAAACATGCTTTGGTTTGGAACTTTAGAGCTTTGAAATCAGATTCTTATTTAAACCCTGACATTGAAAGACGTCAGTGTGGTTTACCACTGTCATGCTTTATCTAATTAGTATTTACTAAGCAGCTCTGGTGCAGAAGTCCTTGCGTAGAGTCCACATCCTGCCAGATTTCTGGTATGGATTAGATTGTGCTATATGTATTCGCTACATAAAGAAATATATCACAGAAACAGAGTGGCTTTCATGGTATCTTCTCTAAAAGTACTGTCAAAATAGAAATACATTCAAATAATTTTAACTATATTTAGATAAAAATTTTGCCATTTTTTAATTGATGGATTTGTAAATGTAGACCATAGGCTTTTACAAAGTAAGATGATTGTGAATTATCATTAGCTGATGAATTAATGTAATAAAATAAAATTTTTATTGTACTTTAGGTGTTTTAAGCAATTTGTGTAGTCCACTTTGTATGTAACTGTGGTGTGTTAATTACTTTTTTTACAGGGAACAAATGGCCAAAGAAATGTCAGAACTTTTGTATAGGTTAGTGCACTGTATTTGTGGAATTATGTTCACTTCAAAATCATATTTTAAAGTCACTGTTGATTATTTGGACTAGAACCTGTTATATAAATAGCCCACTCTTTCCACATATATTTTGTGCAAGAAATGTTACTTCCCTCCTACCATCCTGCCATAGGAAAAGGTAAAAGGCAACATTCCTGAAAATTGGTGTTTCTCAGTGGGAAATATTACTGATTTTGGGAGGGCACTGCCTCATTGGTGCTCCGGTGCTGTTTGTTATGGGCTCACTGGATCATCCAGCTTGGCAGAGGGTGCTCTCCCCAGTCCTGACAGAACTCCCCCCAGTGGTGGGCAGCCCTGTGCCTCATGGATGGGAAGAAAGGGAAGAGTGTGACCACCCAAGGACTGTGCCCCACAGCCTTCTTTGAGAACCACTGGTGTCAGAGTTGAGTTCCCAAAGCATGTGATTTCCTGGCAGGATCTGATCCATTTCCTTTGTAAGTGGGTGTCAACAACATCTTAATTGACACTTTTGAAGTTACAAGTTAACTAAAAATGTGAAAGTAGTTTTAAAAATCAAGTCACTTTTGCTATTGCCATTCTTATTTACATGATTGTCTGTGTAGCAAGCTTAATAATTAATTAATTATACTTTGCTATTTTAATAACTCCAGATATGAGGACAGAGGAGCATTTAAATACACTGCCTTCATGTGCTGCTTCTGATGCTGAGTGTGTTTTTTAGCAGGTGTATTTTGTTTGAAGTAACGCAAAGTGAAAAGCTAGTGCCATTAAATGATATTTTAAGCAATAATAATTTGGATTCAATGTTTTTTAAAAAATGCATATTCTGACAATTTGTAAAACTGTATATTATGTAAATCAACTTTCTCTTTCAAGAAAAAGATAAAGCAGCAACAAAACCTGTAATTTTCAGCTGTTGTCCTAGAAAAGACTCCTGGAAGAGGGGGAAAAAAGAAAAAAACTTTTTTTGGTCAGTTAATTGAATGGCAGTTTAAGATACAGAAAAGAAAAAAAGTATTTGAATAGATGTTGAAGCATGCTTTATCTTTAAGAGTAACAGAGCTTTCTGACACACAGCTGGCTCTTTTGAACAAAGCAATTCAGAATAAAAGCTACATGGAAAATTGCCAGTCACACAGCTTATGAAAACTATAGATTATGCAGTAAACGTAAACCAAATTTTAATCATAGAAAACACCGAAGTGCTAACTAGCCAGACATTATTGTTTAGTCTTATATGTAATGAACAGTTATGTCAAATGGAAGTACTGTATGCAGTATGAAATATGCTATTTTTATTCTCTAAAATTAAAGCACACATAAGCTTTCAAAGAGGCAAAGATTCCTTATTTGCTTCATTTTGTGCTTAGTATTGAAAGTAATTTCCATTGCTTTAGGAAGATTTAGATCTGAATTTAGTTTTTCTGTAACAATAGTCATCTTAAATAATCTGTATATTGACTTTGCCAGGATTGATGTAATATTTCTGAATATAAAGTTATAAAAATTATATTTATTTCCAAGTAGTGTATTTCCCTTTATTAGGAAGAAAATATTTTTGAAGTAGTTGGTGGAGGAGGAGATTGCCCTCGTGTCTTATCTGAGAAGCAGTGTTTTATTTCTTCAGTACTTGTTTTAATATTTGTGTCTCCTCTTATATTGAAATCTGATGTGCTTATTAAACTCTGTGTGTTACATTGAGCTTAAAAATCTTGACGCTTGATCCTAAGTCTCTGTCATGTGCAAAGTATAATCTTACACTGAAAAATAATGTTCATTATTACAAAGAAGAAACTGTTAACATATTTTTTGGTGAATGATCTCAAAGAGTGCATGAAACCCCAGTCTGCTGCCGAGTAACCCAGCTATGGCCAGTTGAACGTGATGATCCCTGCAGATGTTTATCTTCCTCTTTCTTCATCCAGATACTTCTTCTACACAGGGAGAGACAGACGGCATGTTTGACCCTCTGAGTCACTCTTGAGAACCTACCTCTTCTATACATACTAGTGGTCATATTGTGACTTATTAAGGAGCAGGATGCAGTTGTCTGCTTCTTTGTTCTTCTGTGTGTCTCTTGACTCCAGGGGGTCCTGTGGCTTGTCCTATGGGCTCTGGTGCCATCGTTGCCTGAACCCCTTTGTGGGTGCACCCTGTGAACAGCCTGATGTGCAGGAGGTTCCAGGCCAGTAGTGTGAGTGTGCTGTGGCCATCCTGTGTCTCTGCAGGCAATTGCGCTGTGAGCCCCAATGGATCATAGATAAGCCATTGCAGGGCATACTGCCCATGGTTTTTCCTATCTGCTGAGGATTTTTCTCTTGATTTTGAAAAATATATATAAGGGTATTTTTAAGCTTTAAATGTTTGTATTTAAACATTAAAACATGGTGAAGTCCATGACACGGTTGACATAAAACCTAATGTGTTCATCAATTGGCACACTGGAAAGTTTCAGCTTACCTAAGCATCTTTTAGTATACTTTTTTTGTGTGGTAGTGCTAGGGACGCTCAGGGCCTTGTGCCCTACCACTAAGCCCTTGTACTAAGTGTGCTGTACCACTAAGCCCTCAGCCCTTGTACCATCCTTAATTGCATCTGTCAAGACTTACGTTTTTCTAGTAATTATTCCCAGTTCTCAAAGTTACTTACACTTTCTTGCTTCTGTAGTCAGGGTTTCACTCGTGTTTCCAGTTTCAATATGCGAAACTATGTAATAATTACAGAGGCCCCGCTGTGCAAGCCACCAAGGCCGCTGCTGGTACTAAGAAACACGATCTTAGCAAATGGAAATATGCAGAACTCCGTGACACCATCAACACGTCTTGTGGTAAGTGTATGGAGGGAAATGAAAGACAGGAAGGACCATACTGATTTTTTCTCTTCTTTTTTTGGCTATGCTGTTCTGACGATTAAACCAGAGCTTCACGAATGCCAGATGAGATGTCACTGCTGAGTTGTACCCCTAGCTCAGGGTCCATACTGATCAGTAATAAAATAAATACCTAGATGGGAGTGACATGTATGTTTTAAGCCACTTTTGTTTCCTTGAAATGAAGAAACAATTTGTTCACAAAGCCAAAAGAAAGACATACTTATTAAAATTAAATGCATTTTGCTTATTCTTTACCAAGATCAGAGAAGAGGAGTTAATAAAGACTGGACCGAGCCACAGTTGTGACTGTCTTCCTTATAATATTCGTAATAGTTTAATAACTATTTTATTTGAATCTTTTGACCTGTGTAACAAATAGCAATGCAGTCATTCCCTTTTAAAGCTGTTTTTCTTTCAACAGAACAGTTGTGTAGAAGTGTATGTAGGCAATGCCATAGTTATATTCTTATTGAAATCACAGTGTTGGAATGCAGGATGCTGATCAGGAACAAAAGCATCATAAATGTAATTTCTCACTGTGTTCTCTTTCCTCCTCACTGTGTATGCCTGTCTAATTATAAACAGCAACCACAAAAAGAATATGAGAGTCTGACTTCTATTAGGGTACAGTGACTTTTTATTCTATTGTTAACCTTCCTGATTCTTCATATTTAGAAGACTTGTTTAGTTCAGAGTTCTTGTGTGGAACAAATGATATGATAGTTATAATGTTTAAAAAAATTCCCTGTAAATATAAAAGATAATTTTATGAAGTACTCCTCTTTATAAGTAACTTGATTTTGTACTATTCAGCTAAAAGCAAAAACTTCATATATATTTATACCACAGAATAATTACATTAGATGAATAAATTAGGATGTTAATTCTTTTTTTGCGTGTGTGTCTCTTTCTGTGTCATCAATAGATATTGAGCTTCTGGCAGCTTGCAGAGAAGAATTTCATAGGAGGCTAAAAGTGTATCATGCTTGGAAATCTAAGAACAAGAAGAGAAACACTGAAACAGAGCAACGTGCTCCAAAGTCTGTTACTGATTATGGTAAAAACAAATCTGTACTTTTGAATGTTCCAAAGTATATGTATTTAAATATATGTAACTCTGCACAAGATATTTGGGTAAAATGTTCAATATAAATTATCTGTGTTGAAGGCTGTAATCTGCTGAACCTGATAGAACCATGATGACCTGTCTTTTATAGTGTATTTCTATTAAATGTGTTTTTAGTCTTACTTGTTAATATATATTGAATGTACTTGTTGAATATATATTGAATGTACATATTTTTGCCTATAATGAGGCTGTACAGTAATCCTGTAAGTCCGTGGTGTTACTTACACACACACACACACACACACACACACACACACACACACACACAGGTAATACATGTGAAAATGTAAAGATTACTATGATTTTTTTACTTACATGTGAAATGAGTTTTACCTAAGCAAATGAGTATACTTGCCAAAAGGATATTGTTTAATTTTTCCTTCATTTTGAGTTTATTTTTGTGTAGCATTTTAGAATATGTCCCTTTTTATTTGTAGGTGTAAGTGCCTCTGACTCCCCAGAGTGGCATTACAGCCTGGAACAGAGGAGTTATTTCAAGGGCTCTCCGTTTATGCTCTCAGCCTCTGTTCAGAAGGGTTCACTGCAAGCATTACTTTATAACAGTGTGAAAATACTGGAGTGAGAAATATTACCTTGGTTGAGACCACAGTTTTGCATGGCCCATGATCTGAGTTTTAAACTGGGATATTGTTACGCAGGAGGCCAAGTGTTTGAAATTGGAAATAGAGTAGACTGATATAACATAGTAAAAGTGGCACAAGCTCCAACATTAACGTAGAATACCTGTCGTATATGATCTTTAAATGAGTAACTGAAATTTTATTTGTTCAACTTGCTGTTTTTATACTGTCATAATTTACTAATTTAATTCCATTTAACAACAAGGTGGCAGCGATTTAAGATCTTTTATTAAATGACATTTTCTCAATACTTGATAGTATAGCTTACTAATAGTGTAGGACCCAAGGTCATTAGAAAATAAGCATTTGGCTGTATTTTGCTATTGTCACAATCTTCCAAATGAACGAAAGCTTAAGTGAACTTAATTAAATTGTAGAATGTCAATGTTTTTCTAAGTTGTTGCAGAGAGTGGATTTGGGGCAATACCATTTTTAATGAGTAAGATTTTGGTGGCAGTGATTGGTCAAGAGGTGGCCTTAGGCAGTGTGTAACCCTCAGGAGCAGCTGGTAGAGAACACAGTTGGAAGCTTACTAAACACTGTGATCCGCACCGTCTTTTTCTGTTTAATTTTTCCCCCTGTACATTGAAGATGACTGGATGAATCCTTTACCTGTTCATTGTGTGTGTACTAAGTATCTGCCATAAGTTACCTTTGTTTTGTAAAAACCAAAAAACCAAAAAAATCAAAAAGTTGTGGCTATTCTTTTAAATATGATCTTTTTAGCAGTAAATATAATTAGTATCTTTAACCTGACAAACTTTCATTGTGCTGTATCTGAAAATGTAGCCATCTGTGTGATCGCACTTCTTAAAATCAATAGACACTTGTATTGGACATACAGATTTTGAACATGCATGTAGTCCATGTATTTTTAAGCCAGCCTTTGATGCCTGTACATCTAATTTTGCCCCAGAAGGTACAGATAGTATGTGGCTCATTTAATTGATACAAGTACAGTTTCCTTTAATAATTTAGCAAGGGGCAATGAAAGAGTAGATAGGAAAATTTTCTGAGTCACATTCAAGTGTTCGTATAAATGTAGGAGTTTGATGTGAACACTCCATATTTAGCTGGCCTTCAGATTATATCATTGATGAGCCAGGATAAAAATCTTAATTTCTGTATATTTGCTTAACTTTGATTTTTTGTATTTTTTTCTTATATAAAATTTAGTTTGATACAGAAACATAGCTAAAAAGAAAAGCAGTGGGCATCTAGATGCTCACTAGCTCACTTAAGAAAATTCTGTATTTAGGCAATATCTAATGGGCAGCTAAGCACCCTGTAAAAGAAATTGTAGTCTAATGTTTAGAAGGATTAGAATTCATTTTTTGAGAAGGTATTGTAAAATAAAAATGTAACCTGATGGTATTGATGATAACAGTTCCTGAGGCAGTAGTCGTGGCAAATTCTGGTGATAAGGACAACCCAGACCATTCTTGGAGCCCTGAAGTAGCTCACATCTCATTTACTGCAGAAAGAGATTTTCAGAAGTAGTATATGGAGCAATGGCAAACTACTCAATAAATGTTTATCGTATTTAATTGCCTATAGCAATGATTTTAGAAGTAATTTTTGTTTCCAGACTGCAAGCATATGAAAAAGTTGAAAGAGATACTGTGTCTACTATCACTGTGTCCCAAAATTACAAATTAAGTATAATTTTCATAGTTTGGTTCTCTTCACATGTGCGTCATACATGGTTTCCTAAAACACGGATCAAAGCAGCCCCCCCCTCCTTTTTTTTTTTTTTTTTTTTTACCAAATTAGAAAGCAATACTTACTTGTAGGTAATTCTGAGAATATTTGACTCTTGACTAGGATATTTACTTCGTAGTCACCACCTCAATTGATGGGATGGCTTTATGAGTAGAAAATGCTGAAAAACAACTTTGGCATTTTTGTCTTCAATATAAAATATTTGTTCACAGATTTTGCACCATTTTTGAACAATTCACGTAAGTCAATGGGTGGTAACTCATGAGCTAACTGGAAATGGGTTAAATACTTTATAAAGTACTAACTTCTGTTAAACATTGTTTTGCTACAATTTTAAGTGGAATTGTAGTACATTAAATTGGCTTATCTGTATGAAGATATATTTTAGCTTGAATGATGCTTTTATTTGGATCAATCCAAATTATATATTTAGAACAAAATCTAAATTCTGTTGTTTTTTTAAGATTCCTTTTAAAAATAACTAGTATTTTATACTGTGAGTGTACACAATTCTTATTGTAGCAAGACTCTCTTCTGTTAATGCAGCAGCTGATCCTGAGAACAAAGTCTAACTTTTAGGTGTTGGTTTCAGACACTTTATTTTCAAATAGTGATGGTGTCCGTGTTTAGCCAAAATAATTGAGTTTTGTATGTTAGTACGGAAACTTCTAATATAGAGAAGAGGAGATTATTTTGTTACTTTTGTGGCTTTATATGAGACACATTCTTTTGTAATTTGGAAGCTTTTAGTAACTTCAGTATTCAGTAAATTTCATCTGGAATCAGTTGAGCAGGAATGATTTGATATAGTGTCATATACTATACACTAGCCAATTTGTTTGGCCATCTTTTTTTGTGTGTGTTTTTGAGACAGAGTTTCACTGTACAGTTCAGGCTGGCCTTTGAGCTCCCTTTATAGCCCAGGCTGGCCTCGAACTCACAGCTTTCTCCTGCCTCTGCCTCCAGAGTGCTGGGATTAGAGGCGTGTGCCACCATGCCTGGCTTTTTAAAATACGTCTGATAATATATAAAGCTACGTTTGAAACAAATTTTGTATCCTTAAAAGATAATACAATTAGATGTGAAAGAAAGTTGGTTAGGTAAGTTTCAAGCTTTTTTTTTTTTTTTTTTGGTACTGGGGATTGAACTCACAACTTTGTGTTTGCCAGTCAGGTGCTTGTGCCACTGAGCTAAATCCCCAGCTAGTTTCAAGCCTTTAAGATCTGTATTTTTGAAGTTTTCCAGATAGATACTAGTTTCTAGTCTTCCTTATTGTTTCCATTCTTCCTTTAGGAGACAAACCTATTAGAGACTTTGGTTTTTAAATTTTATTGAGTAACAGAATAAATATACCGAGTAACAGTAGACCATTATTTTAAAAGGAAAAATAGGCTAATTAATGCATGACTATCAGTATTATAGTTACTGTCCAATCAGCTGTTAAATTCTAGTTCTTAAGATGGAGAAAAATTTTTAAAAATCCTCTTTGAAGGTTTTAATATTGAGTACTTTTTATAAAAGTTTTTTTTAAAAACTTGCAGTGTTATCTCTGAGCTGTATATAGCTTTAGGGAAACAGAAACAAAAGAATAAATAAATACATCTCTCTTAATATGCTGAAGGTGATGCGGGTTTTTAAAATCACTAACCAAACTGGCTTCTTGTACTTTCTTAGGCATATGTGGCTTTGCTTGGTTGTTGTTGCTTTCTCTGATTTGCAAAGTAGTAAATTCAACTGCTACATCCCTTTTGCTCTTTCTAGGTGTAAAAAGTAGAGTAAAAGTATTTTCATTCTTTCAGTATTTATAATTTCTTACAAAAGCCACGTGGCTATTCTTGTATCCTATCTGAAAGCTATTATATAACTTTTCAAAGACATACTTTATTTCCATCCTGAGATTCTTGGAACTGCAGTAAATGATTGGTGTGTTTTTACAGTTGTGTGTAGAAAGTATATTAAACATGTTTACCAAAATTATGCTACTAAAGATGTAAAATCATTGCTCCAGGGGAGTGTTTACTTTTGCAGATAAAACAAAAGCCCAATTTTTCAGTAATGAAAATTGAGCAAAGAATAAAAGAGTGCTGTGAGTAGAATGCTTAGCATTGAAAGAGGGACTTTTCTTTCCTGCTGGCTCAAAGAGTATTAGACTCTTTCCTCTTACTTCAGTGGATTTTATTCCAAAAGAACTCTGATTTTGAGATAAGTAAACATGTTTGAGAGAAAGTTCATGCTTACTGTTTCAGATTTTATTTGGTCAAGAGTTTGTCTGTTACTCATATCTGTGTTATCTTGGCCACTTAAAATCCCCAAATCTATTAGTAAGAGAGAAGAATTTTATATGACTTATTGTTGTGGTAATTGTGATTATAACAGATTTTTAAAATTCTTATTTAAGTTTGTTTTATTGTAAATAGTCCAATAAAAATCACTTTGCAACTTTCATTTGAAATCTTTGGAGGAAAAATACAAATCTAGTAAATAATACTAATTTGCATTCCTTTTGTGCAGGTTTATTTCAGGTTATTGGTAACAGTCCTTTGTGGGGGTATGGTGGTTTGGTTTCTATAGGTGATGATGATGGTGTGTGTGTGCTTGTGCGTGTGCGTGTGCGTGTGTGTGTGTGTGTGTGTGTGTGTGGTGTATGCCATGAATGCTAAGGAACATCTTTAAGAAAAGACTGAGACACTTCTAAGAAACCATACTCTGAATTGTATTCCTTTATAGCAGTAACTTTATTACCGGGAACCTCCTTCTGTCTTTCGGGAGGTGTTCTTGTGCATTCTAGGGTTAAAAGGATATTTTCCTTTCCCTTGAGCCACAGCTGTAACTAACATTCCTCTTCTATATAATAGCTCAGCAGAACCCGGCCGTTCAGCTTCCTGCCAGGCAGCAGGAGATTGAAATGAACCGGCAGCAGCGATTCTTCCGAATCCCATTCATCCGCCCTGCTGACCAGTACAAAGATCCCCAGAGTAAGAAGAAAGGCTGGTGGTATGCCCACTTCGATGGGCCCTGGATCGCCCGGCAAATGGAGCTCCACCCTGACAAGCCACCCATCCTTCTTGTGGCCGGTGTGTATTTTGCAGGAGAAAATGTGTGAAACAAAAAGGCTTTAAAACCCTTTGAATGATACATTCTGATGCTGAATGTAATAATTAACTGAATTTCAGTGTTGGATGATGGTGTTCTGCTATTAGGTCACATGTCAGCTGAGGGTTAACTGATTTGTAATGCAAAATTGCTCAGATTATACCATTGTAGAGCACACTGAAACTTGTCTGTATCTTAAGAAACTACATTAATGATTATTTATAGTTGTTGCTTTGTAATAGCTTGAGGACATGTATCATTTTTGTTAGTCTGATGACTTTTTGATAAACTATGGTGTTCATCAATTTTGAAAGGGTCTTTAGTGGGGACAGATTTGTTTCCTGGTGAAATTATTAAGCACATTTCCATCATAGAGAAAAAAAAAGTCTTAAAAAGATCTCAGGTTTGTGAGAGTTGATAGATACTCCTGGAATAAAGCTCAAGAAATCATTCCAGAACGAGAAGGTAATTTTCGGTGTCTGCTGTGTACAGGTAAAGATGACATGGAGATGTGTGAGCTGAACCTGGAAGAGACAGGCCTCACTCGGAAGCGTGGTGCTGAGATTTTGCCAAGGCAGTTTGAAGAGATCTGGGAACGCTGTGGAGGCATCCAGTACCTTCAGAGTGCAATCGAGAGCAGGCAGGCGCGGCCCACCTACGCGACTGCCATGCTGCAAAGCCTGCTCAAGTAGCTGCTGCCGACAGACTGACTGCTCTCCTGGGCGGCTGGGCTTGGGTGCAATGGGAAGGCGGTGTGTACTGGAGGGGTGGCCCTGCCTTGCTCGTGTTAGGATTGCTTAAGCAAAGTGAACAGATTTTACTAATCATGGCCTTTCATTAATTTGTTTAAAGTTAATTAAGGTTGGAGTGATTTGGGGACCTAAAAATTACTTTTCTTTGTCCAGTTGTAACTCTGAATCCCCTCATTATTCCAGTGCTTGTCGGGCTTGGACAAATTTCTTCTGTCATTCTTTGCCAACAGACTGCCTTAAGTCCATCATGATTGCTTTCAGGGAAAAGAGAACTCTACAGATACTTCAAAAGACACAATACCTTGTAACTGGAGTAATGAAACAGTAGCTTAAATTTTTTCTAAGAATTAAGGCACTTAAAATGACCAAGGCACTGATGTTTGAAAAACATCCCAAAAGCTATGTAGTTTCTCTACTACTTCAGAAATTCTTAGATACTTCCATCAACAATGGGAATTCTGATTTTTCCCCCTTCTCCTTTGCAGTGTATCTTTAGGTTGGGGAAGCAGTTCTTATTAATTTCTAGAATTCTAGAAAGAACCTTAATTTATTCAGTATGTTCAGTGATGAAGGAAGTACTTGAGGGTCCAGCACTGATTTGGTTTTCTGTTCTATCAAACTCTGTGCTGTCATCAGAATTTTTTAAAAATATATTTCATGGGCAAGTAAAGGAAATTCAGACTGTTTAGATATTTAAAAGTTTTGGAATAAATTTAATTTCATTTAGGAAGTGAAACAGTTTAGATGGCTTAACTGGATTAAATTCAGATACTTTTAGCTTCATCTCATTTGTGCTTTTTTGTATGAGAATCTTGTCCAAGTTGTTTCGTGTATTTTAAGCTGGTGTTTGTTTCAAATATCTTTTTAATTCCTGGTGTCTTTGGCCTTCTGTGATTTTGGAAAGTATAGAGCTGTTTTGTAAGCTTTATAATTTGGAAGCCCTTTTACTTAGTAATTGCTTATTTCATGTAACAGGTAATTTTTTAAAAAAGTTTTCTTTGTGTGCTGTTAGTCTTGGTAAAATGTCAGCAGTTTCAAACCTAATATTTATGACTTTCATATTAAGAATTTTGAGACAAAAGTCCATCAGGGAGTTATACTGACATAATCCTAAAGAGTCTTGTTTGTATTGTAGAATAAAATTATTCTCTGCACCCTTTTTTTCTGATTTTTAAGTACTCTTAACATTTCAAATGAAGTTTCAGTGATTTTTTTTTCCCCCTTAGAAATGTACCTCAGTTAGGAAAATATTTCCCAGCTGACTAAGTTAATGTTTGGGAGCTACAGATATTGTTTTCAGAATTGTTCCTCTCGTAATAATGTCATACTATAGAAATACTTATTTATTATCATACTGTACAAATGATTGTCTTGTGCAAAGGATGTCCAGGGGCCCTGTCTTTGCTAATAGCTGAGAATCTGGATGTGATCACTGTTTAGTGGGTGTTTTACCACTCGGACTTACCCAGCCTTGGGTCATTTGGTGATTGGGGCAGAAAGTGTAGTTACTGAAATAAATGACCTGTTCACTTTCTCCTATTTTTTTTTTTTTACCTTTAATTAGTGTTTTTATTTGTGTAGGGTAGTGAGTGGTATGCTTTATTTCTTAACCAGTAATAAGTAAAGTCCTTGAAAAAAAATGTAGTAACCAAATTGATTTTTAATGACTTGTCCTTTTAGTACCATTTTCAAAAGTTGTTTTATGTCTATCCTAGGTACATGAAAAACTAGATGAAAAATTAAAAAGATAAAGTATATAATGAAAAAACTTAATGTTTTGTGATATTTGTAAGAAATGTAGCAAAAGATTGTTACAAGTCTTTTTAGTTTTTGACTCTGATAGTTAATAAAATTATAATTAATCGTAAGCCATTTTGTTTCTAATTATGTCATGCAACTGACCTCGAAGTTATCTATTTAAAATAGTCTCCTGAGTTCGTTTTGCTGCCAGGAGAACTGCCCTGGTTCAGATAGACTTGAGGTAACCTATATACAGCAGATGTGCACTGACATCGAAAACGCTTTGTGGGGGAAACTTAGGGTGCTGATAGCCTTGTGGGGGAAATAGCGGAAATGATGGTCACAAGCGAATCTATAAATACCAGGTGAAAACTGTAAGAATCAAAAATTAATTAGCTTATATTTTAATTAGCCATTTTAATTGAGACTTAAAAGTTTAAGCCCATGCACTGTGTGTAAAGAACTAATCTTGTAGTGCTGGTCTCACCAGCCTTAACACTTGTCCTTCCATTGTGGATGGCGTGCATAAAAAGTATTAAAGGGAGGGTACCAGAGATTTTCACATTAATTTCAGTTATGGCGTAACCCCTAATTCATCAGGCCATCTGATATATGTGTGTGAGATACGAGCTCTCACTGGAATAGGGAATTTCTTCAGTCAGCATGTGCTTAAGAACAGAGCTTTCTCCGCTTTAAAGTTGGGGAGGCTCTTGCTTCTCCGAAGGTTAAATGACTAAGAAGCAAGGTCGTGAATGGGCAGACACAAAGGAGTATTACTGCTCTTGTTAGGCCTCTATTTTGACTTTTTTAGGTGGTTCTCTTTCCAGTATCTTTGTGAACCCTTTTGTTTTACAAGCAACCAAGAATAGATATTACAGAGAGAAGTGATGGTGATTGTGAAAGTTCAGACAGGAGAAGCCCTCAGGCAAGAATAATAATGCATATTATTTGTAGTGCTTTATTGAGTATGTTTGTGTGCACATGTACATGCGAACAGTTGTGTGTGTGTGTGTGTGTGTGTTCCCAGGGATCAAACCCAGGGCCTTACATATGATAGGCAAGTAGTCTACCATACAGCCACATCTCTAGCCACATCTCCCTAATCCGGTATTTTCGAAAGATATTTTCATTCACAGGTTACTACTATGGTTCTCAGGGGATTCAAATTGTAGATCTTGGTTTCTTATTTATAGTGTAAGAATGGTTGGATCATTAGAATATTTGCTGAATGAATCAGTCAATTCAGTCTGCATGACAAACTTACTTCTTTATATGGAAAGAAATCGTTGGTGGTAAGGTAATTTACTGTTAGAATATGAAGCAGAAATGCCTATGTTCCATTCATGTTTAGCAAAAGGACTCCAAACAAGCCAAGGTATTTTAGCAGCCCCTTGATTCACAGAGGGTTGCTTCTCTGTCATTTCGCTTTGTTAGAGGGCAGGACTGGCTACCTTTCCCTGCTTATCATGACAATGGCAACAAGTATTGAGAGTTTTAATGCACTTACAGGGGATAGGGGAGGGCTGAGGGGACCTAATAGTGAGAATAAGGACAAGTCGGAGAAACAGGAGTAAGCACAGAGGTGTAATGGAAGGGCCATGTGACTCTACATCCTGGTTGGGAAACATACCTTTTAGGCAACTGAGTGCTCCTAGGTCTTTGTTAAGCTCTAGAATGATTTGTGTGTAAATAAGAGTAGAACCAATCTTGTTCAATTTGGATCAAGAAATACCTGGTGTGTAAATTCTTAGCAAATGGGAGCAGCACTGCCACACGGGAGAGCAGCAGTGAGTTGGTGCCCTGTACAGGAGGAGCTTGGTGGGCAAAGCATGGGCACTTGGAGAAGGAGTCCTCTCCAGCGTCAGGACCACATTGCAAACACAGTCCAGTTCAATACATTCGTTCCCCTAGACTAACACTGAAGCACGTTTGGTAGTTTCATGAGTTTTTTTAGGAGAAAAATTAATGACCATTCAAACAAGGAATCTCTAATTTGTATCAATGTAGAGTGTCCCCTTCAAACCACAAGTAGGCTTTTAATTGGCCACTTTTCACTCTAAAATTTGCTTGCCACTGTTAATTTTTTCTCATTTCATGAAAATGTGTATGCAATAATTAATACTGATATTCTATTAGAAATACAAATAAATGCTTCTTCAGAACTTTTCTGTTGTGTCTTGTGCTCTTTTTACATGTAAACTTTTATTTGTATATATTTGTGATACATAATAATTATATCAATTTGGAAATATATGTATAATATATACTATATATGTTACTTTGATCGTTTTTGGTCTCTTTCTCCCCACCCTTTTGTCCCTGATCCCTTTCTCCATTTCGTAAAGTTGTAAATGTTTCACTTGTTGGGAGACAGGATGCAAAAACTGGAATCCCCAAAAGAGTCCTGTCAAAGGCCTTGAAAAGAATCTGTCACTCTAGCCTGCTCAGCCTGTTGAGCTTCTGGGATTGGGCCAGAGAGGAAGGGGCACTCCATCACAGTGTCCCTCCACAGAGGATATCATGGTTACCAACTTTTTTTTTCTCTATCAAATCCACATTCTCCACACCTGTCAGGCCAGGACTTAATACAGGATGTTCAGCCTGTCGTGGTGTTGGCAGACACCTTACCCTGGCCGCAGTATGTTCCTGTGCTTTTCCTAACCTGTCATGCTTCTAGCAAGTTTATCTGAGAAGTTACTAGGATGTGGCAGTGGGCAGATATAGCCCCTTTTTGTTGTGACACCTTGTCACTGTAGTCCAATTTGAAGTCTATTCCGTGTTCTAGATCTTCACTTTGGGAGAGGACTGGGCTGATGATGATAGACGAAAGCTATGCGTATGTGAGACAAGAATGTCTGTCCTCTTCCTCCAGGGAGGAATGCCCCTCCCCAAGAGATCATTTCCACCATTAGAGAATATTATATTTTTATTTTGGTAGCTGCTACTAAATGTTGCTCTTAGCATTTACTATTTGGTATTGTATTCTGGCAGCATTAAAATATTCTATTAAGAGCTTGCTCCTGATGTATTGTTCACCTCCCACAGCAGTAAGTTACATTTGGTTGCACATGATGTTTGAGTAACATTTTAAAGTGATCTAGAGGAAAACATGGTTTACTGTCACCTTAGTCATCTTCCAACAATAATCAAAATATGTTTCACTGATGGTATTCTGGGTTTTGGTAGAAAGTGCCTTTTTCTTCAGGATTTACTAATTGTCAAGTACATGGCTTGCATACTTGAAAACTGGTGGGTGCTTGTTCCGTGTTGGCTCTGCCCAGATTCCAGTCACTGTGACTGTGCCTGCCTGTTTGCAGCATGCTGATACATGATATAGTTTTCCTTGGAAAAGTGAATCATCTATTTTGAGATAGCTTAAGTAATAATTTGTGTATTTTTGGTGGTTAATTTTCTTCCCAGTCATCTCGTTGGTTAAATTCTTCAACTCCTGCAGTCAGTGATTCAGAATTTCTTTTGATGATCTGGAAGAGAAGTAGTATAAGAATTTAAGAAAAGCCACCCACAGTAAAATCATGGCTCATTCTACTTTTGATTCTCTAGTGGTATGAGGGTATGCTTGCTGTTTAACAGATTTTCTTGCAAGATTGGAGCTGACCTTCAAATGTTCTTTATCTACTCGGAATGTATCCTAGCATTTTTTTTACACCTGTTTAGATTCTTGGACTGATTAATCTCTTGGAGCAAGGATGGCAAAAAATTTTCCCGTCCAACTGTTGCAGCATCATTTACCTGTTACGATAACGTGCTTCCTTCAGGTACACGTAAATCCTCGTGACTTTTGCTCAACACAGTAGCCCAGCTGGGATAATCAGCACTGGTACTTAACCTCTGTCATTACTGCCTTCAATATGTATGTAGTTTGTTCCTCAAGTTTACTTCCTGCTGTCAATCATTCCCTTCGTTAGCTGCAAACTTTCTTTATTTGGTACCAGCGATCAAACTTACGACCTCGCACTGCCAGGCAGGCGCTTACACTGCTGAGCGAAATCCTTGGCCCATGAAACGTTGTCTTTAACTCCACCTGGTACTGTTATTTCAGGATATGTTTGATATTTACTGTCACCTGAACATGTTAATACTGGAATCCTAACATCATTAGTCCTAGTCTAAACTTTTTATGTTTTTCTAATTGTCTTAGCTCCAGGAAGTTAAAAAGGTGTGTGTTATTCCGTTGTGCAGTTGATCCATGCAATTGTGGTCACATTTGGTGTGCTTGGCTATGTGTTGACCCTGGCAGCCTTCTCAGGTACAGGCTCAGGCTGTGTTGTCATCTAGCACTGCAGATCTCAGAGCAAACATTGTGAACTTCAGAGATCCATATCGGTTTTGAAAATAGGTAGTTTTAGGCTAAAAATGTCCAGTGTTTTTCCAGAAGGTTATTTTAAAAGCCCTAAAGCTTTATGTAGGTTATATATAATCTGGTAGTATACAAGGTATTACCCTAAGATAAAATTTGTCTTAGGAAAGTAAATTGACGAAATGGGTAAGTGTGAGACATCTAGTACATAAAAACATTACCTGAAGTACAAATTTGGGAACTTTTGAAGTTGCTCATTGTTCAAAAATCATGTTTCTTACACATATTTTTCAAAAATCATGTTTCTTACACATATTTTTCATTATTAAGAAATTGAATAGTTTCTATGAAATTATTCAATGCTGTAGGAATATTTTTGTTACTGTGAAAATTTCAACTTTGTTGAGACATTTGATTACCCACATGCATATTTTTACAAGAAAAGACTGGGAATGTTATACTTAGATTGTTGTTTTATTATTTTATGTGGTTATTTCTGTTAATGAGTCTTTTGTCTCTTTCTTTGCAGGAAGAAATAATTATTTCTTTTTTATAACACTAAATTCTAACACTAAAGTCTACCAAATAAAAGTGCCGTATTTTTACTTAAAAGACTCAGAAAAGTTTTAAATTTATTTCAGAACTCAAATTTAGTAACTGATACCAAAATGTAAAGATTCTGAGTGTGGTGGTACTTGCCTGTAATCTATCATGTTAGAGGCTGAGGCGGGATTACACCAGTTTAAGACTATCCTGGGCAACACAGCAGGTGGAGAAGCACTGTCTCAAAAGACCAAGACCAAAACAAAAATACTTAGAAAAGAAGTTAGGGTTTTACCTTATTTTGCAGATGGTAGAATTTTTTATCATTTGTTTCATGTACTTGATTTTTAGAGTGATCTGGTGACCTATAAAAGAAAACAAAAACATAATCCCCAGAGGTAGAGGCTGATTTGAGACAGGCTCTTCTTACATATCGTTGAAGGGTAATTCCTGACCTCTTCGTAATAATAGTGACTGCAGCTTTCTACTGCTTTATTTTTAAAATCGGGCTAAGTGAGAATGGGATAGTTTGCATGTGTCTTCCACGAGTTGAAGTTGGAATCTGCTTTCTGCACCTGAGCTTCTGCTTTCCTTTTGCTGCCTGAGTTTTCTTGGGCAGTGGTCTCAGAAGGATTGAAAGAGACTCACGGGAAAGATGAGAGGGCAAATCCATCTTGTGATGAGTGGAGTTTATCCAGTCAACCTCTGAATTGTTGCTGAAAACATTTCATTTACAAAATTAAAAAATGAACCTTATTTTAAAAGTGTGTATCTAATTCTGTATGTACATATATAATTTCTGTGATGGTACATACACATTTTGCATTTTTCCTCATGTCAGGAGAGTATTTGGGGATACCTTCCTGTATATATATTCTCTTATTGATAGCGTGTTTTATTTCTCATGACCGTGCTTCTAGTGTCATTTCAGGGAAAAGGGGAAAAGGGAGAACCCTTCCCCCGTCCCAGTGCTTGGCGGAAAGCAGGCCAGGTGGGGACTGGGGATATCTGGGAAGGGGTGTAGAACAAGTGCCTTGTTCTCCCCAGAGGCAGTGCTTTGGGTTCCTGCTTGCTCTGGTTGAGTAATATGAAAACTTGAAGACTACCAGGGGGACTAGTAGGTGCCTGGGATCAGAACCAAGAGGTTACAAGTGAGGAGAACACCACCCTAGAAACTCTCCAAAGGCCCTGGTGTCTGTTTAAAATGAATTGATCTTTACAAAACCCCACCCCTTCTTTCCTCCTCCTGTTTCCCTAGTGTGTGGTGGAGAATGTTCCCCAAAGGAAGGCAGGAATGCTGGCTAGAAGGAATGGTGACCTCCCCTGCAACGCTTAAGTTCTACCATGTGGGGAGTCATGTGACTGCCCTGTTACAGTGTTACTAAAACAACCTCATAAACGTCACCACGTATCATCATTTATGTAAGTTGACCCCCATATTTGTAAATAGTTTCCATTAGTACAAATAATGCTGGGGGTCACATTAAAGACAAGGAAAATTTTTATTTAAAGAGGAAAAGTCATAACTCTGCTTGGTCTAGATTTGCATTTTCCATATCCATTTAATAATAATTGTGATTAATGTAAGTCAAATTCATGTCAAAAACAAAGAACCTTCGAACATGCAAATTCTGCTTATTCTTTGGAGATCAATCTACTGGTGGACATAGAACATCTGAAAGTGAGGGAGACAAAAAAAAAATGTATGGAGTCTAGTCATGAATATTACATGAAGGAAAAGGGGGGAAACCAGAGTGAAAACACAGTGAATGGCCCTGACTCTGCAGCAGAATGACAACTGAGCCAGCTGGAATTGCTCTGGAGAAGCGGCCTCGACTTCTTAGTAAGGTATTTATGCTCAGTATCCTTCTAGCTCTTCACGTTTAAGGTCAAACGACAAACGTGAAGGCAAGTTTATAGTGCTTCAGAGAATGTGGTCTTCAGTTACGTGCTGTTCTGATGTTAGTCCTAAATACTATTTTATATGTTTTGCTATCTTACCCAGAAACGCCTCACCATTTTACTTCAAGATATTTCTTCTGTACATTTAATTTCCAGAGGAATCTTGGAAGCAGAATGCCACACTCCATAAGAGGGTTTGCGCTGTGACTCACTCGGGGAAAATTCACAGAAGCAGCATCATTTCCCCTTCCCTGAGTGCATCCTCTGGGCTTCCTAATCTTTGTAAAAATGCTTGATAAGCATCACTTCATACACCGCTTGCAGTAACACAACAGATGGGTATTATTAATTTTGGTTATGGGATGAGGAAATTGTGGCTCAGAGAGGTTAATTTGCCCAAGGGTACTTGATTGTTAAATTGCTAAGCAGAAATTTTAACCATAGTCTGGCTTTGGAATCTTGCTTCTTGACCCTGATCAGGTGATTGTTTTGAAGAAACGAAGGCTTTGGAGGAACAGGGCATGCTTTGTCAAGGAAGAGGCCAAATTCCTGTGATTCCATTTGAGTCCCTGTGGGAGGGAATTAGGCATTGTGGCTACCAGGGTGAGCAAGAGGCAAGGAAAAGGCCCCCGGCTGACCTGTGCATGCTGTTGCTCAAGGCAGTGAGCAGAAGTGCTCAGATGCTGGTTGGGGACAGAGACTGGCAAAGTGGGCTGCATGCTCCAAGGTGGCCAGGGATGGGCAGAGAAGCCCTCTGAGGGCGCAGTCTGTCCATGGGCAGCCCTTATTTTGGTCACAGGACATGAGAAGATGTGGGTGCTGTTGTGCTGGCTTCTTGACCTAAGGCTACCTACTACTCACTGAGGTCCGCTTTGTGCTGAGAAAGGCTATTGCATCCCACTTCTTTCTCTTCTTCCAAAAAGCTTCTGTTGGGGAACAAAGTTCTGACTAAACACATCATAAGACTTCTAGAGCTCAGACTCCTAAACCAGGCCTGGTAGTCTATACTTGTTATCTCAGCACTCTGGAAGCTTTAGAGAGATCCTATTAAAAAAAATTGAAAAGGGCTGGGGATGTAGCTCAGTGTGAAGGGCCTGGGTTCATGGGAGGGGAATGGAGTACTCTTAAGGATTAAAAATGATGGTACAGAAAATGTTGAATAACAAGAGGAAACATTCTAGGTTAAAAAAGAAGCTGATTACAAAACAACTCAGTTTGATTCTATTTTACTTTAGAAAATTCTATGTAAACCAATTTGATAATAAATATGGATATCAAAAGTTCATAGCAGTTAGTGTGATGAATGACACAGGACATTTGTCCTCTTTCCTTCCCTGAGTGTGGCCTGCCCCACTGGCCTGCGGAGAAGTGCAGGTCTTCACATCTCCTCTGTGGCCAACTTCGATGCTTAGGGCAGCTGGGAGCCTGAGTTAGAGGATTTTTGTTCTCATACTAGACGCCTTTCTTGGAAATGGTTAAGCAGTGAGTGACATTAGTGTGCTTGACCTACCTGCATGGAGTTCCTTGTCCCTGGACAGCCCTGCACCCCTCCACGGGGGCACAGAGGCTGGGGTCCAAGTCCTGCACACCCCTTTGGTGCTGGAATTCTGGTCCACAGTGACACTTGGCATCCTCAGTCTGATCATTCTCCACGCACTGGGAAAATTGGCTGCAAGCTATGGATCTGCACAGACCTGCGGGGTCATCTGTAAGAGATGGGCAGGCTTTGAGGAACCTGTGGGAGGCTGATGGCAGTTAAAGGCAAGAGACAAAGGTATTTGCCATCACCCCATTTTGGAGTGAGTCATACAGTGGTGATAACAGAAGGGGGTGAAAAGAGCGCTGACTGCAATTTTGTCTGTGAAGGATGAAATTATAGACACATGCTAATACGATTAGTCCCAACTATAATTAGGTACAGAGTTCAAGATGCATCAGAATCATCTAGAAGCTTTGTTACAAGAGGCAGCTTATAAATTAAAACGTTCAGCTCTGGGAGGCTGGTGACTCCTTCCATCTCCCTTCTTTCTCTTGTGCTGGCTCACAAACCTCTCAGCAGAGAAGCAAATGGGCAGAGACCCTCACAGGTCTTCTTTTCACTGTTCTTCTACCCTGAAAAGCTTTCTGGTTTCATTACATCAACCATTTGCCCTTCACACTATTCTTTTAATTGGCATCTATTGGGGGCGAGTAAAACCATCCTTCTAAGGATTCTAAGGAAACTGAGTCATGTATAGAATTAATTCTTCACAAGGAGCCCAATACTAAGTCTAGCCTAAGAGTTCTAAATATAGAGGGCATTGATCCTGGAGGCAGCAGCTTCGAACACAGTGCATGAAGTGGATTGTGTCTGTACACACAGACACTGGGGAAGGTCTTTCCACTGAAGGCAGCAGCACAGAGAGAAAGACTTGAAACCTGAAGAGACAGCAGTGGGAACAGAATTAGAAGGGAACAGGAACCTGTGAATGGGAAGGAAAGAAGCTGAGCCCAGAGAGGGGCTTTAGGACTTTTTGGAATGCTAAGAAATTTGGACTTTTTTTTCTTTGCCCTTCCTCACTGCCATCTCTAATGCCCCCCAGAAATTGGACTTTATAGACAGGTGGGAACCTCAGAGGATTTGTGAGCAAGGAAAAAATATGGTCAGACTTGTGCTTTAGAAGATATATAAACAGGATTTAGGATATTTAGAATTAGAATGATTTCAAAGATCATCTGGCCCAGTATTTCCCAAGTGGGAACATTTGCAAAAGTCTAACTCAGCAGAATTTAATAACTTTTATCTAAAAAGAGCTTTGATAGCTAAATAAGTTCTAAATAATGCTGTGTGACTGTTGAGAATGTAAATTAGTACAATCATAATGGAAAACGGTATGGAGCTTCCTCAGAATTTTAAAAATAGGCTACCAGATGATCCAACAATCTCACTACGGGGTGTATATCCAAAGGAAATGAAATCAGGATTCTGAAGAAATATTTGCCCTACTAATATATTCACTATACCACTATCGTAATAGCCAGGATAAGTGTCCACTTCTGGATGAATGGAGAAGGAAATTGTGGTACGTCTGTACAAAATGCAATACTACTCAACCATAAAAACCTGGATGAGCCTGAGGGACATCATGGCAAGTGAAATAAATCAGGCACAATGTCACTTCCCTGTGGAATGTAAAACAGTTGATCTCACTGATGCTGAGAGTAGAATGTAGTTGTTCTATGCTGGAGAGAGGAGAGGGGAGGAGGGTGGGATGGAGACAGGTTGGTCTGAAGGTACAAAGTGACAGCTGGGGCGGTGTAAATTCTTTGTGTTCTGTCACACCTTAGGGTGACTGTAATTAACAATAATGCATTATTTATTTTAAAATAGCTGGAAAATTTTGAACATTCTCATAACAATGTTTGTGGTTATGGACATATTAGATATCCTGACTTGATCATTACACAATGGATCTGCACAGACCTGCGGGGTCATCTGTAAGAGATGGGCAGGCTTACACATGGATCGCAACATCATATTGTAACTTCATATATAGATACCATTATTATGTGTCAATCAAAAATAAAAGTAAAGGAGCAGAGACATGCACCTGTAGTCCCAGCTACTCAGAAAGACCACTTGTCCTCAGGAACTCAAGACTAGTATAACATGGTGAGACCCCTCCATCTCAAAATAAATAGATATAAGAAAATGAGGAAAAATATGTCATATGACATAAATGTAATAGACTTATCTTTCTCTGCTCCTCCCCAATTGTCCCACCCCCCTCTCTTTTTACCTTTACACTTCTGAGGGTTATTAACAAGCTCACATCTGTTGCAATGGATTGTGAATCTTCCAGCAAAAAATAGCCACTGACCAAATTTACAGACCTGGAACCTCTGGATGGGGTGTGGGGGAGAATCAAGTGGTGTCTCCAACAAAATGAGGAGATCAGTATGACTAGCTCAAGGGTTGGGCAAGAGTAGGTCCTTGAAAATGTGCCTCACCATGCATCAGTGAGGCCTGCTGCTAAAGTGGCTTCGTGAAGTTGCATTTCTCTGCAGCTTTGGGGATGGATACTATGAACCACCTGCCCTGCCTCCTGGTGCCTAACGCTGGCTGTGTTAGGAGTCAGGGCCACCGCTCAGGAAGAACTCAGGTTTACACTGACAACCCAGGTGATTTCACACCCCGGGCCGCTTTAGTAAATAAAAAGCATCAACAGCTTTACACTCAGAGCCGTATTCCAGAAAACAGAGGCCAGCAGAAAAATAGTCAGAAGCTCCATTTGCCTCTGCAATAGAGAAACATATTCAACCTGGAAAACTGCATGCATGGGTTCTTCCTTTGAACAGAAAAGAGCAAGTAACCAAAACCAAAAGTTGCCCTGTGAACACAAATGTTTCCATTTTACCGTCACATCCACGAGCTTAGCTAGGCCGTGTGTGGAAGATCTTGCTGGTCTGTGCTCCAGTCCTCCAACAGACTCAGTTCTCCCACTCTGGACCGTGAGAAGAGTGAGGGCGCAAACAGCCCCAAGAGGGCGCTGTTGGACCACTGCTGTGACTGCTGAGGAAGGCCTCTGCAGTTCTTCAGGCTCAGGAGAAACCTCGGTTCCAGCAACTACTTGTGAAGCAGCTCAGATTGTTCCACTATTTCCCCCTAGATATTTTGATGACCCTCTTTGGGGTCTACAGCACTAGGTTTTAGGCAAAGGCTGACTATGGGGCTGACTCTACGGAGAAAGAGCCATAAATAAAATAGAAAAGGAAAGATTGGCTCTCTGGTGAACGGAGTAAACAGGCATCCCTGTGTGGTCATCACATCCTTTTTTTGCTTCACCCCCGGTTACAGCTCCTTAGGACCATGCATCCTTTCATAGGTTGGCCATACAACCCTCTGTCTCTTCCTTTGCACATCCTTGGACATTTGTACAAAACAAATTATCCCAAACTTCCTAGCAGTGTTTGTTCTAGATTTGGTCAATGATAAACATAATCTATACATTATGTAGCAACAACTGAAACCGCTCTGTCTGAAGAGTGTTATAGCTTGAAAAAAGGAAGGACAAGAGACTTGAAATCAGCAGTAGACTAGGATGGAAAAAACAATCAGATGCTATTTTTCAGAGAAAACATTTTCTAGTCATAGAGCCAAGGGAGTGAAATAAATCCCCACGGTAAGTTTACAGACGGATTGGTCTATAACTGCCTTAGCTCCCTGGATGCATGTAAATCCCTTGTAAGTAGACTGTTTTTATGTTTGCAGCATAATGGGCTTTCTCCAGGAGCCGGTAACAAGCTCAGCAACACCTGCTATGGTTTGGGTCATCTTCTGGGCTTCCCAGGATTGTTCATCAGCAAGGTGACTGAATTTTTTTTTTTAATCCGTAGCCAACGTGGGTAGCTTTTCCGGAAGTAGGACAACCCCATGCTCCTGGCCTTCACGAGTCAGGTGTGTGTCAGGGGCTCGTGGCAGCAGGTGGGACAGGTCCAGGTCCATCTTGGCACCCAGATGACCTGGCCTTCTGCTTAATGACCCAGATGGACTCTTGCTGCAGTCAGAACACTCAGGCCTTGTCCCTAAGTGTCCTGGGGGCTATGCCCCTGGACTTCCAGCTGTGCCAGGATCAGAAAGCAATTACTCCTGTGAGCAGGAAGTACACATTCATTAGGCACTATGACATGTTCAGCATGGTGCTGAACTCTTTTAAATATGTGTCTTCATTAATATTTGCCATCACATACATACAGATATTTCTGACACTGTTTTTGTAGGTGACCAAGGATTGTTATCTAGTAGGCCATGTGATTTTTTACCCATGCTGGTGGTATTCCAGGCGACACCAAGGGACTCTTGAGGTGAGGAGTGAGTGGGAGCCCCACAGCAGACTCAGAGACCACTGCCCTTTGAAGACACCTTGGGATGATGGAGCTCGTGGCCTACCGCCCTCCTCATGAGTAGGAGACCCATCAGAGGCTCTGAGTTCAGGGTGACCTCAGCAGTGGCTGCCGAGGGTTCAGGGACACTGCTGTTGCATGGAGGTTTCTGGAGTGGGCACCTCCTGTGTGCCAGGTCCCCTTGGGGTTGCCACATCTGAGAGGTTGGTCCTGGAGGTCACTGGTCCTGGACTCCTGGCTGCCTCTTCTCAGTCCCAGGATACTGGGCTTGGCCTTGTTGGTGGCAACCCGGAAAGGGAGAATCTTAATGGCAGGGGTTGAAGAAGGACTCCAGGAGCATCAGAAGGAAGCTCTGCGGGGTGTTTGGATGTGGGATGAAGGCCCAGGTTGAAACTGGAGAGGAGAGAAATGTCCCTGGCAGTGCAGCAGGAGTTGAGCAGAGACTCCCTAGTGGTGACTTCGGGAGGCAAAGGCCAGGAAATGGCCGGGGAAACAGGAGGTCAACAGGGAGAGTCCAGGGAGAAGTGCCTGGAAAGAGCATTCCTGTGACTGACCTGGCTGGAAAGAGATGGTTCCTCACAGACTAGAAAGGGCCGTTTGGAAGTTTGAGACTCATTCATAAGAGCAAAAATTTTTCTTTTTTCCTTCTTTTTTTCACTTTAGGGAGGGTTATAACAAAATATTATAAGAGATTTCATTTGATGAAGTATAGAAAGTAACAGAATTCATTTTGGATTAATTAAAATGTATTGTTGCTTTTTCTAAGTAGATTAAACAGCCGCTGAACACCCAGTAGGAGGAGTTGTGAGGTTCCTTTCTGTGCAGAGGCCCTGGCAGCCTCAGAGGAGGAGGAAAGCATTCCGGGATCTGAATTCCAGCTCCATACTGGATGACTGTGTGATCATTAAAAAGCAAATACTTTACACCTCTCTGAAACACAGTTTCTCCGGTTGTATAAGAGGGAAGGAGGTTATACCTACTTTGTGGTATTACCACTTATTGAGATAGAAGATGTCAACAGTGCATAGTAACAGGTATTTTTTGTCATCTTTACTGTGATGAGTGACATCGACTGCCTCTGAGAGCTGGCGACTGACAGGGAGGCTGATCATCCATTTTCCAGGGAAAATGAGTTTGCTGATGCACATTTTGCAGCAGCATCTGTGTGTCAGACAGTAATGAATCCCAGCGTTTACCATTCAGAGCTGTGACATCGGCCCATTTCGGAGGCGGCCTCTTAGGAAGTCAAGGTGAGAATGAGTTATATGTGGCTTTACATTTCTGAGATCTTCAGCTTGCACAACTCCCTGGTATAAAAGCTCTGTGTGTTTCTGAAGAATTTGCATCGCAGCCTAAATGAAAGACGATGCTGGTTGCTGGGAATGCTGGCGGAATACCGAATAAGCCGTGATTTATGCAATTTTTCCAGTTGATAGATCACAGAAAGTTTTAACATTGGTTTAGAGTTTTACATCACAAATTCATTTATTCAGAGTTTTCAAAAGGTGAGTGGCAAACCTACTGCATTAATAACACCGGGGGCCTTTTCCTACGAGGCTGTTTCTCTGCAGGAGTTGTCTGGCCCAGCTGGCTGCTGACCCTCATTTAGATGGTCCCTCGGATCCAGGAGTTGGCCTCGATGTGGAGTGAAGAGCCCCAGAACTCCAGGAGCGTTTTCAACATCTCCTCCTCCTCCGCTGCCTTTTCTGGTGGTGCTGGGGACCTTTCCTAATGCTACTACATTCCTACTACAAACTGCTCTCCTACGCTGACATTAGATGAGAAGAAAAGGGTTGATTGGAATTTGATCCAGATTTTGCGAGGCGAATCACGTAAGTGGATGTGGGCATTGCCAGTAAGCACAGTAAAATGGGGCGGAGACAGGAAATACTTCTCATCCTCAGGACTGGTTAGGCAGCCTTGTTTCTGACCCAAGTCTCCTGACTTTCCCTTCCTTAGTTTAGAAAACTGGTAATTGCAATTTTCTGTTCTGCCCTTCTGAGATGTAAAACTGTTAAAAAGCCTCCCTGGGAATCTGCACGCGGGCTGATCCTCCTCACAGGCCTGGAGGCACGGCTGGCTCTGAGAAGGGCAGAGCCTGACTTTAGAGCCTGCTTTCCCAAGGCTGAGGTAGGCGGACAGCTGGACAGTGGTGTTGATCTTCAGTTCCCCCAAGCTCACCCCAGTCTGGCCTCTGCTTTGCCCTTTGCAAATGGCTCCAATGACCTCTGCACTGTTCTCTTTAGTCTCCTCCATCCATCATGCATTCATAGCTTCTAAAGTTACCGCTTGTCTTTGGCCCTTCTCTCTTCACAGCCTTCCAGTCTCCCCATTCTGTCCCTGACAGGCTACTTCCCTAGTCAGTTGCATCTCACAGCCCTGAGCTATGTTAACCTGTTCTCTGGCTCCAGCTGAAGTTTCTACAATGTGCAGTTCCGTCCCGGCTTCTTTCCTGGCCTCTGTACCCCTCCTTCATAGGCTGTTGGCCAAGTTATCTGTGCCTTAGCATAGATTTCTCCCCTCAATATTTTTAGAGTCTTTTAAATCCTTAAGTGATCTCATTAGTTTTGCATTAAATATTTTGAATTAAATATTTTGCATTAGATATTCTGAATAAGAGTGACATTCACAAAGGCACTCTCTAACTCTACGTCAGCACCCAGATGCATTTAAAAATTTGAAAAAAGCATTAATACCACTCTTTGAACTGATTTATACATTTGCACTAGTGTTTTCCAAAAATGTAGTATTTTGCAAATGATGAACTAAACGTTTTTAGAACACCTCAAGGACTGTTGAATATTTACTTTAAAGACTATTTGAGTTTTGCAAAAAATTTAAAGTCTAACTTTAAAAGACCCAAGTCATGGGCAAGACAGATAGGACGCCAAGGTGGACATGGAGATTTGGCAGGTTTGATGGAAACTTAAAGAGCAACCTGGCCCTGTGTGAACCGGCTCAGCCTCCTCTCTCTTCTTTCTAGCCTGAACTCTCTCCCTCCTTCCTCTCTGCCCAAAGCACTGCGTTGGTGGGATGCCTGGGTTTTTCCTCCTCCTCACCCTTCTCCTCCTGGCTGCTGCCAGCGTCCTCCAGGGCCCCACTCAGCGACACCATCTCTCTGCAAAGCCTTCTCTGATACCCCCGCACCTCTGTCCTCTGAACTTCACGGCTTTACTGTGGATATTCTGTGGAAGACTTTGCAGTGTTCTGTGTTTGTTCTTCTTCTCTGGCTAGGCAGTTAGCTTTCTGTGGATGGAGAGAGTCAATTCATCTTTGGTCCTGGTGCTTGTAACAGTATCTGACTCCTGGCAGAAAATCCATAATTGTTCGCTGAGTGTCTGAATGAATGCAGACCCACGCCATGCGTGCGTTATCATTTACTCGCCTGCTTTTCTGTAATGGTTAAAGATAAAGGCTAGAGGGAGTAGGAAGCTGGGGCCTCACTGATGGTTTAGGAAAATTGTCCAGCATTTGGAAATAGGGAAAAACATTGCCAGGATAACTTCCAAGGCACATCAGTAGGCTAACGTGGCACCAAGAAAACTCTGAGCTCTGTTGGGCCGCTCTGATCAGCTGTCTGCCTTTGTACAACCTGAGAGTCCAAAGAAAGGATTACGCACTTTTCAGCGGTTATATAAGCACTTGTATTGTGCCTTCACTTTGCCTTTTGGCTTGCAAAGTCTAAAATATTTACTCCGTGGCCCTTGAAGAAAAAATTCGCTGATGCGGGGAAGGCAGTGACTATGTTTGACTTACTGTTTACTACTGATTACGACTCAGACATTTTACAGCTCTAGGAAGCACAGGAAACTGTTCAGATGCCAGGATTGTGCTTCCTGCTTTCTGTTTCCTGTCCTTCTTCATTATTCCCTTTTGGTCTCTGGCTAGACAAGATCCCAGATTCTGTGTCTTCCTTATACTATTTTTACTCTAATGTTTCATGGGTTAATTTTTAAAATAATACTTGGGCGTGCCCTCACTGTCTATTTGTATGACAGCTATAGTTTTCATATTTTGGGAGTGATTTTTTGCACAGGTCAGGGAGACAGGTGAGGAGGGCAGGTGACTCTGGAGGCCAAGGGACGTACAGGGACTCTGGACAAGGGAAGCCCTCGCACACCCTCACTCGTGTCTCCTATTTCCCCAAGAAGGTGGTGAGGGGAGGGCAAAAAGGTGAATTGTGCTATGCAGTGTTTTGTCCACCTTGTCCTGGAAAAGATTAAAATTGTAGGATGTCTTCTTTATTTTCAAGGATAGAGCCTGGAGATTCTCCCCAACAGTCAAATCTAGGTATTTCTTCTTGACAGCAAAGAGTGGTCAAGATATCTGGCCAACATGTAAAATAAAAGACTTATTGGAAATAAAAGACTTATTATTATCAATTCCTTTCAAAATATTGTACTTCTTTTGCAAATTTAAGGGCACCAAGAGATAAAGAAAAGGGAGAGGAAGAGGCGGAAAGGGAGACATAGAAAGAATTGAGATGTATTATACACATGTAGCAATTCTCTACGGTGAACGTAATCATTATGCACTGCAGACAACTACTAATTAAAAAAAATTAAAAAATCCTCCCCCTCGCTTTGAACACACCTAACCCATTATCCTTGCCCTTTGCTGAAGCAGTTTCTTATTTTGTTTTTCTTAGGCAGAGTCTCATTGTGTAGTGCAGGCTGGCCTTGAATTTATGGTGATCTCCCAAGTGCTGGACTTATAGGTGTATGCCACCACGCCCAGCTCCGAATCATTTCTGGAAGTCTTCTTTTATGAATGTTTTAAAAGGTGTGATAAAAAATATGGTGACTGCTGCTGCTGAGTGCATTGAGTGGAAAGGCAAGCTCATTAAGACATTCAGTGAGTCCTTAGCCACTTTATTCAAGGAATCTGGCACCAAGTGACCTCTGGCTCTTCCCAGAAGTTAAAAAAACCATGAAAGGTAATGTTTTAAATCAGTTCAGGACATCAAAGCAGCCAGCCTCAGTGTCAACTAAAGACATTCACGAAAGAAGACTGTTGGAATTGCTTCAGAAAGTGGCAAGAATGATGGGATGAGTGCACGAAAAATGAGGGGAACATTTGGAGGGGATTGTGGCAATGTGTCCTTTACTCTAATAATATATATACATTTTAAATTTAAACATTGTATTTTTCTATTGTGCCTTGCACAGTATTTCCAACACTGGATTCAAGCGAGTAGTCAAAAGATCAACACTTAAATCAGGGGGAATTCCTTATCTTTGACAAGAAGACTTTCTGGTTGTCAAGACTGTGATTATCAGTGCCCCTACAGGTTCTTTCACTGCCTGCTGAAGGTTGGCGGTGCCACATCCCAGCTCCCATCTCCAGAAGGACCATGCCAGCAATAGAGCCAAGAGCCATGAACATGAATGAGTCCTTGTTCTCCAGAACCTAATGTAATTCTTTTCTTCCGGAGTCCAGGAACCTGTAAGGCAGCATGGTCACTTGGTTGTACTGGTTAGTTTTACAACGAGGACATTTTAATCGGTTTGTCAATCACCGTGACAGCTTTTCCTCAAATACACCACCAAGAGAAGATTTGGAGCAGCCAGTAACACTGAAAGGGTAGGACCAAAAGAGCTGTCATACTGCTAGGTGAAAAAACGTAGTAAAGGACTGAAAATCTTCTGCATATTTGTCCTCCATTTCTTTTAAAATTTAAACACCTATTTCTTCTATAATCAAAATAGGGAGTTGGGGATACAGCTCGGTGGTTTAGCATGTGACTCACATGCATAAAGCCGCAGATTCAATCCTCAGCATTAAAAAATAGTAATTATATATTTATCTTCCCAGACTGAAATCATAGAGGAATGCTTGAAACATTTTACTATAACAGTACAGGCTTTTTAAAAGAAAAGGCAATATTTTAGATTTCATGTTGAAGTTTTTTTTGGAAACAGGGTCTCATTTTGCAGTTCAGTCTGGCCTTGAACTAGTTTATGTAGTACAGACTGGCCTTGAAGGATTACAGGTGTGCGTCACCACGCCTGGCTCAGAAGAAGTTTTATAAACTCTGCAGATTTATGGGATTTAAACATTAATTGTTCAGAAGCAGAGTGGTGAGTCTGGGCTTTGGTGTTGCCTCTGGCTGGGCCGCAGCACCCCAGTGAACCCGAGGGGATGAACGACAGGGACTGGAGTGTTCGTGAGTCTGTCGCACGCAGCAAGTGCTGTGGGGTCACTGCACATTCGCAGCCACCAGCCCGCAGACAAAGGCCAAGCTGCCTGTGTCCTGATGAACAGCCTTGACCCTTTGTAGCTGCTGCCACCAGCTCAATCCTCCCTGTCACCCCTGTCACAGGCTGCCTCAGAGGTGGACAAGAATGCGGCCTATTATCTCCTGTTCAGATTCCTGGGTCTCCGCAAGCTGAGATTTAATGGAACACTCAGTACTGCCCCTCTGACTCTCCTGAGCCTACAGGAACATGTACAATGTCCAGCACATAGTCCTTAAGAGTATTTTCAAATGGCATCAGTATAGTCCTAAAATGTCCCTGGTCCCTTTTCCTCAGTTCCTCTGGGCAGAGCCTTTCATATGTACAGTGTGTGGTGCGGAAGACACTTACAGTTTTGGATTAAGCATGGTCCAGGTCCCGATAACCAGCTCCCTGTCCACCCTCTGGGTACATGAGTGAATCTGGCCTTTCTCCTGGTGAAGGAACCACACCAGGATCCCCAGTTGTGGGAGGGAAGCCCATTGGTCAGTGCCTGTCTCTGTGCCTTCCCTGCCTGCTCCCACCTTTCCCCTGTCCCTCGTGGTTGACCAGAAGGAAAACACAGCACGGCTTGGCTTCTTACCTTCACACACACAGTGTCAACAGGAGTCCTCGGGGGATATCGAATTTACACATTTTGACTAATAAAGATGAATTCAAGTAGTTTGAATGTGCTTTTAAAATTGTATGACCATTTTTTACTTTCTGATTCTGTTTGAGCTTTTGGTTGAAATATTGCTCACATTTTAATTGGCTCACTACAGCCATTTCTTGGTGACTTGTTTCATTTATTCATTCATTTGTTTATTATTTTATGAACTTTTCATGCATTAAAAATTTAGGTTTTCTTATGTCCTGGTACTCGAAAGGAACGGAATGTAGACTATGATCTTACTGTCAGGGTTAGTGTAACACTCCACATGCACTTGCAAAGCACTTCCCTTGTGGACACTGTGGGTGGTCAGCCACTCATTCAAAACATTTCACTTGAATCCTCTGCTGCACTGGCTTTCGTATGCCGGTTTCTCTAGAAGCTTCTCAGCTGGGCAGCCAGAGTTGAGCCAGCTCTGGAAAGCAGGCAGGTGATTCTCCAGGCTGGCCAGCATGATATGGCTTGACTTATTATTCCTCCACTAACATACAAATTGGCCATGTATCCCACCGTATGCTGGGCTGCCTGGAGCCATTTTTATATTAGATAGCAGCAGAAGTTGGGCTCCTGCAAGGACTGAAACTGATCTTAGTATCAACTCATTTCTAAGTTTCCTTAGAGGAAAAACTGCATAGCAGAACTGCTCAGAGGAAATCAGTGAAAAAAATTTCAGTTCCAACCTACACAGGAATAACTTTATATGCTATTTAAAAAAATTTTAAAAATTATTCTTGTTCATCTCCTATGTAGGTCACCAATTAGCTACCAAGTTAACTACTACAATGTTGCACTGGTAACTGGCATTATGTGACTGCAGGGTATTCAGCACTGTGCTGGGACCAGTCCTCACATTGGCTGTGATCTTCCCTGCAGTTGTTAGCACACAGGATTTGCATTCAGGGCTGTGGACTCCAAGGGCATTGCTATGCTGTGCATCTTTCCAGCATCAGCAATGTCCCTGAGCAAACATGGTAACTAACCTCCAGTTTCCCATCTTCTTTGTAAGGGACTACTTAAGGGGCATTGCCTGGCCTTGACTTGGTGACAGATGAGTCCCTGCTAGAGGAAGGAAGGGAGTGGCTTGGGCTGTCACTTCCCTCCTGTTTCCAAGCTCTGCCCATATACTTCCTTTTCTTTATCAACCCATGGGACAGATTAGTCTCAGGGAAGGACCCCTGGCTCCTTCTCAGCTCTTGGTAGTTTAGGGGAAGAGGCGGTAGACCACCACATTTAGGAGGACTGGAAGGACTTCTCAGGGGGGCCAGAGGGCCTCTTCAGCTGCATGGCAGTAACCTACTCTGCGTTTAGCCTGTGGGTGCTCTGTCTTTTTAACAATCCTGTTTATTAAAGCATAGAGGCAATTTTCTTCAAGTTGTTCAAAACTCTGATCTGTCAAAGATAAATGTTTTCTTCTGGGCCTTTTGGTTTGTGTTTTTGCCGTAGGCCTTTTCTCTCTGCCTTTTTTGTTAGCTCACAGAGAGGCAGAGAAGGTGTTAAGGATTCGCTTCACTAATTCATCGCCAATTAGGTTTGGCTTTGAACCTGCTCCAAAGAAGAGTCTCTGGCAGCAGACAAGGAACCTCTTCCTCTGCACTCTAGAGAGTTAAGAAACAAAAACAAACACACACAAACACACTACCCCTTCAGTTAGAATATACCCCAGTCAGAAAGCAAGTGAGAAACCATGGGTGAAACCAGTTCCCTGATTTGGATGTAGCTGGTTACAGTGGTACCAGAGCTCTGCTTTATCACTGAGCAGATGTTTGCTCTCTGTTATGCAGCTCTGGGCTGAGCCCCTTTTCTTTAAAATCCTCTCAATGCCTCCCTCTGTGCCTAACTCTGTCTTATGCTACGCCTGGAAGCTGACCTAGGATATATGATTGAAGCGTTCTTTCACTGGTGACAGAGAGTGACTTTCTCTAAGTCTGAACTGTGATCAGATTGTTTTGCTCTCCTTGGGTGCTGCTTTATCCCTGAATTGCTCGACAAAGAGGCTTCGCTGTGGGTTTACTGTGACTGACAGGTTTCTGGGTAGGTACCTCATGTTGTTGCTGATCACAAGAAAGTGTTTTTGACTCCTAGCAGAATGGAAATGAGTGTGGCTGTGGGCTACATTTAAAAACATTTCTCAAGCACAGCCAAAGTTTTGTTCTGAAAAGAAATTGAAGCTTTCAGAATGCGAAGTCAGAAGCAAGTTTGTGGTTTGCTTTTTGATGTAGGGAAACTTCACCCTGCATGTTTTAGTGCTCTGTCAGAAAACGTGATCTGGAACTTCCAAAAGGATATTATACAGTGTGATTTAAATTTCATGTCGGTGGCCTGACCAATGAACCATGTGCTCAAAACCAAACCAAACCAAACCAAACCAAACCAAACCAAACCAAACCAAGCAGTTACCATAATTCTCTTTGCCAGATTCTTTTACCTGGTTCAATGTTAAGAGAGAAGCTGTCTATTTCCAAGTCCAGCTGCTGGGCCGCCATGGAACGAAGATCCTCCACAACGCCATTCATGGCCTCCATGAGGTTGTACGGCACGGACTTGGCAAACCTTATCTTGCTATTCATGATCACACTCCCATTTCTGAAGTTAAGTATTTCAAGTTGCTTAAACCCTGTGAGATTGGATTGCAGATACGGGACCAGCTGCGAAATACAAGACAAGACCTTTAATCGTGATCAAACCAGAAGCCTATAAAGCATTCTTTGCTTATCATTTATTTAATCAGCAAAGTTCATTGTTTATACCAACCACTTTTTCTCAGATAATTGATTTTTATCTACTCTCTTTTATCAAATACAAGACAGTTTATTACTGTGCTGGTGTGAATCCTGTTCCTATTCACTTTTCATTGTCTGAGGCACAGATTTCAGTTCCTTTCTGTTGATTTTCTTTTTTTGTTTCTAGGTTTAACATGAGGTCAGAACACCACTCACTACTCAGTGATCTATTTGCAGTATTTATGTCTTTTGTTTTCCATCTTTCTATCTTGGCATTGACATGGATGGGCAGAGGTTTCTTCATGATGAGATGTGAAAACAGATGATTTTAACAAACCCAAGCCAATGCTACCATCAAAGCTTGACTGACGGGATTAGCTGTAAAAAGCAAAACGTAACAACATGCTCCAAACAAAGCTCGGGAGCAGCCTGAGCAGTATAAATGAGACTATTATTTGCAAGTGACAAATTTGACATGACCTATTGAAATCAGCACCAGCTCTGACACCAGATGTCAGGGGTCTGTATGCGCAGTAAGAGTTTCATAGCCCACAGGACCTGGTGCTGAGGATACAGCAGGGAACTGGCTGTTGGGAGACTTGGATTCTGTCTGAAGCTGTCCCTAACTAGCCTGGTAACCACTGTGCGATGCCTCTGTGCATCTGAATTAGAGTGGACAGCAAGAAGATACGTCCAAGGGCGTCCCTTCCAAAGGATAATTTAATAATCCCCAGTAGGCCTGAGGTCCTCACGCATGCCTGTGAGCCATTGCCACCGTGGAGATCGTTCTCTAGGGAGATTGGGAGTTCCGTAGTGCCTGCCTTGTGCCAGCTCCTGCGAGTGAGAATCATAAGCAGTGTCCACTCACCAGCTGCATGAATCTTTGCTCCAGAGCTTGGTACTCCAGAGAGCTCTTATTGAACAGGTCATTGGAGAAGGGCATGTTAGCAACACGCAGACTGAAGAATACGATCAGCTCTTGGCCCTTGGTGGCAATGGTCATAGAGCTAGTGGTGATGTAGTGCAAAGCTGGGACAGGAGTGGTTCTCTCCAAGAAATGGTCTGGGATAGAAACATATTCACTCAGTCCCAGTTCTCCCAACAAAGGAGGAGTGTTTGACACGTCCATTGTATCTTGGTCACTGGTTATGTCTTGACCATCTGTACCCAACCTGCCATCATCTGAAGATATAGGCGAATGTGAAACTTTCAGGGCCAACTCATCAGCGGCAGAATGATCACTAGAGGGGATGGTGACCTCTGGGGCTAGTACTAATCGGTCAATGGATGTCCTGTCCATGGAACTTTGGTCAGTCAGAGAGAAGATGCTTGACATGGTAGAGAATGGTGGGGTTTCCGATAAAGAGGCAGAAACCCTTGCTGGTGGAGACCAAGGACTATCAGTTGAGGAGACGTCTATGACCAATTTCATTGTGTCCAAGTGGTTCCCAAAGAAGAGGAAATAAAAAAGAAAATTAAAGTTAGGTTTAACTTTATTAAAAAAAGATAATAATTTCAATGCTAATTTTTAAAAAAGAGACATTGAAGGGCAGATATAGGAAGGATAGACAATGGTGTATCCAAAACTAGGCAGACAAAGGGTGAGTCTCTGTCTAGGAAGATGATACAAAAAAGTACTAGGTGCCTATAATTTCTATTATTACACATGGATCAGGTAACATAAACTGACAAGTTACCACTGGAATAGATTGATTCCAAATGACAGTTGGCACTGAAATAGATTTAAATCTCACTTCTCCTTCTGAAACTTTCAGACAAGTACCTGCACAGTTTTGGCCCAGAAATATTTTTCAAGTACAAACCCATATTTTTTCTAACTGAAGTATTTGAATTCAGTGACCACATTTTGGTCATTTTGTTACTTAATATTTAATTTTGTTGTTTCAAAACTGGCTAAGCTTATTGAATAACTTGCCTGTTTGCAAAAATCATATGGAGTGTAAACACATCAACACCACATGTACTTTGAACTTTATATTGCCCATACAACTTGCTAAATACTTGATAATATTTAAAACCCTTACCACTATTACACTATCACACGCTGATAATTTTTACAACTTTGCATTGCTTTCTTGGGTAGGCACACATCATACTACTGAAATGCACTCCATTTTAGTATACAATTAAAATCAGTAAGTATTTACGAACTAAGAGTGGTTATATGGAACTTTCACTTAAAGAGATTGATGGATTGTTAAAATATTCCAATAAGTCTAAATTCCAGAGCTACTGACAATATTTAAAGCATTAGGTGAATAAAACAGGGAGCTTTCTGTGATTACTTCAGTGGCATTTTGGCAAATATATGGAAAGCTCTGTTGAGATCTAAATGCTAAGTGTGATGAATGGTCTGTCTGGATGCAGATATAATCTTTGAATTTTCAGTTAGCTAATTTACTACTGTGCAATCACCAGAACTGAAATTGCAAGTGATAAACAACTCTGAAAGGTAGAATCACATTACTTTTATTACTTTCTTAAAATAAAACCTGTCTATCGGTGAGTTAGGCCCAGATTTCAGATAAGCACCATGTTTTCTTTTACCTGAGAGTGCCCAGGGGTGTGTAGCCATGCTTCCTCAGATTGTCAGAAATCATATTTCCTAACATGCAAAGTGTCCCTGTGTGTACACTTACAAATCAAATCTCCCCTTCTGTGGATGGAGGAGATTGTCTCTTTTTCTGTCATCCTCAGTGTGATGGTATTGGAAGATGGGTCCTTTGTGGGGTAACTGGGTCATTACCATGGAATTCTCATGAAAAGGATTGGGATTGGCACCCTTGAAAGAAGGGCCAAATCGTCTCTCTGTCTTTGTCTCTGTCTCTGTCTCTCTCTCTCTCCCTTTTCTTCTCCCTCTCCTTGTTTTAGTATCATCTTTCTTTTTGCCATGTGAGGTTCCAAACTAGAAGTCTTCTCATCAGAAATCAAATCTTCCAGCACCTTGATCCTGGATTTTTAAATGTCTGTTTTTCATCTGCTCACCACATGGCATTTTGTTACAGAAGCCTGAGCTAAGATCTCCATGAGAGGATTTGGGATGAGTAAATTTAAAGGCGTCTGCTGTCATCTGTGGTTTGAGTTGATATCTTTGGCTTGGGAAAGGCACTTGATTATGCACACCTATGATGGGATCTCTGTGACCTGTAAAGGATAAGGATCAGGAAAATCTGTGGCAAGAACACAATGATGGATATCTTCATTCTGCTCTGGGGCCAGCATCTTATTACATCTTCCTCTCTAGATAAGATTTACTCAGCTTGAAATAAGCTTCTGTGTTATGGCACCAGCCAGTGGTACCATATACTACCATATGTGAGTGTTGTATATTATAAAAAATTATGTGTTCAATGAATTCTTATGCAGAAATTAGTAATGGTCAGTGCAGCATTAAGTGTCACACACTACAACAGATAAGCCAAGGACTGAAAAGCCAAGACATTTATTTTGCCTTGGAAATGAAAAATCAAAAGACCCTCACTGTTGCACTGGAATGAGTGTGGGAGTCTGTGAAGCATGGAGCGTGTTTGCATGTAAGTGTGTGTGGTGGGGGCGCTAGCTGTGACCCAGGCTGCTGGGGATAAAGTAGGTGGCTCTTCTGATCATCTTCTATGGAAGAGGTCTGCCCAAAGCCACGGCCACAGATGACTTGGTCCAACTGGGGCCCAACTGAAGCCCAAAGTGAAACAAGCCAGCAGTAGATGATGCAAGGCATGGTGTGGGTGATACTTGCCAGAGCCCTGTTTGTGGCCAGAGGTGAACCGAGTGGAGGAGCCTGGCAGAGGTGAGGCTGCTTTGCACCCTGCTGAGAATAGCCACATATGCGCAAGGAGCCACAAACACCAAGCAGTGGCCTATGTCATGTTTAAAAAGAAATCTAAAAAGAAGAGATTCCGCAATCTCCTTTAGGTCTTCAAGTGGTATGACCAGCAAGTTTTTGACTTTATATCAAGCAAATCTATCCTTTATCGTAGCAAGTTACTATTTTGGTATCTTGTAGAGATAGTAAGCACTTATTATTAATTCACTCAGTGAATACATTCTGATGTTCTACTATGTATCAGGCATTATCCCAGGTGCTGCGATGTATTTGAGTAATATAGAGTTTCTGGCTGCCTAGAGCTTATTGTTTAGTGAGGAAGGCAGAAAAACAAAACAGGAAAATACATAGTATGCCAGGGGGTGATAAATGCTATGGACATAAGATGAAGCAGGACAGGAGATGGGAGGGCAGGGCTGTGATCTACAAAGGGTGGTCCCTGAGATCATCTGAGCACAGACCTCGAGGAGCAGAGAAAGAGAAGCACAAAGGTCTGCCGTGTTGCAGGGACCAGCTGGGGGCCAGCATGAGCTGAATGGAGTCTGTACCACAACCTTGTGCAACCGTGTGGCTAAAGATGTTTGCAAACACACAGGATCTCAAAACATCTTCCCCAGGCATCATTGCTTAGGGTGTGTTTACCTAAAATGTGGCTGGACATACACACACACACACACACACACACACACACACACACACGCACATACACGGCAATGGAATGAGATTCTAAAATATTTATGGAGAGTTCCAGAAAGATGATGAAGCCCTCTCAGCGGTCCAGGTGTGAGGCAACCAGTTAAGTCTGCATTTGTCTCAAGAAACAAACATATAGGAGATACTTGTATCATCACGCCTTCTGACAGTGTACTAATTTAAAATGTTTCCCAGCTTTACTAATCATTATTGACAAACAAAATTTGTGGTCCAAATTTTTTTAACATGATAAAACTCCTAGAGGATGCATTCCACGGAACTCACGCATAAACTCAGAAACAGCAGAAGTCAGGGCTCGCAACCTAAGAGAAAGCAGGGAAATTCTGCAGGTGACTGCAGAGGGAGGGCAGAGTGACCACTGGCCATGCAGAGAGACACAGGGAGGTCCTGAAAGAGGAGTTCATGCTCCCTGGTGCAAAAAGTTATACAGGAAATTGCAGAAGAACTTGGGAAGAATTAGTAACAAATACAAAGAAAACTAAGGAGGAAAAAATCACAAAGAAAAACCTAAGTTCAGGAAAACAGAAAGACAACAGAACATCTGTGAATATAGAATCCTAACTGTAAATACCGATTTGCTAACAGCTATATTGTCTGTAAATTGAGAGGATTGAGGGGAGCCCAAGGAAATGGTATTGGAAGAAATTGAAATTGTTATACACAGTAATAGGAAGTCATTACATGATGTAAAGCTGTTTTTTTAAAAGTATGAGCAAATGCTAAGAGAAATGGCTGAGTTAAGATCAACGGCTTTTGGCAGATAGCACTGCAGGGCAGGAGAGTGTGACATAACAAAAGCCTTTTTCCATTTCTCACAATACTTTACTATGTCTCCCTTTTAGAAAACTGACGTTTTAAATTTGGAGATAATCATAGATTCAAATGCAGTTCTAAGAAACAATGCAGGGAGTGGCGTCCGTGAAAAGTGAAGAATAGGAAACTCCAAGGCGCCCTCTTTCCCCTTCCCAAAAAGCAACAAAAAGCTGCTGCAAGTGTCAGTGTTCCTCTAGAAACCTTCACAAATGTGTAACAATCAGGAATGCTTAACTAAGAAAAATGGCCGAGTTTTGTGAATGAATTTTGGGGCATAGTTTCCTCCAGGTATTAACCTGCTGGCTACTCCTAGCTCAGTAGTCTTGAAAATAACTGCCCTCCCCTCTAAATACCAGAATCTCAGGCAGCAGACTGGACCGCTGTCACAAAGGACCTCTATTATTTATTTTGGCTGGTGTCGTGACTCCACCGTAGACACACTCAAAAGTGTAGCCTGCCTTGATCTGTCCTAAGTAGGGATGCACCCGAGGCTGGAGAAGCCACGGCCCGTGTATTCCTGGCTGTGCGAGGCAGTGGGAAAGAGCTAAGCCAGCAGCAGAAGGACAGAAAGCTTGGAAGGAAGGCTGGGGAAGCAGATCGTTCAGGGAATGACTGTCCTGCAGAGCTCTGACGTTTCCCAGGAAGAAAGCGACCCTCCTGCCAAGGGCTGCGGCATGATCATGGGGAATGCCCGTCTCAGATAGAGCTTCTGCTCTTCATGCACATAGTTGCTTTATGGCTGCCAGATTTCCCGTAGGGTGCTGAACAGGTTCTGGAATTATACTTGGATGGAGGTGATGTTGTACAACATTTGGAAGTACATAATTAACAATGACTAAAGTGGGAAATGTTACTTCAATATAGAGGAAAACGTTATACACATGAGATCCTGCAGATTCTTCGTCTGAGTCTCCTAATGTTAACATCCTGCAGAATCGCAGTATAGTATCCAACTAGGACCCAACGTTGATGTGCAGGCACAGAAAGTTCCCAGGGTGTGGCCCTTTCACAGTCAGCCCTGATTCTCCTCTACCCTAACCCTTTTTAC